GAAGTATACACTTCTACACTGCTAACATACGTACACATCCAATCACACAATGCAAACGTCACCGTAATCTTATTTACACACTCCAATCCTATCCTAGCCACAGAAGCAATCTAGCATCTGAACCTCACTATCGAATGGTGCACTCGGCGGCGGATCAGGTTGAACGAAAAAAGCCAACAAGAAATTTTCGCTTTTAAGTCAACCCTGCTCACCAGTGCACATGAACAAGGTTGTACCACCATCCAACCCAGTCCGCTACTTGGGCTTAGATAGCAGAATTCCACGAAACCAAATACAACACTAAAACATCAAGAACTTGACAAAAGATAAGGACTACTCAGAAACCAGAAATCAACGCCAATCATACATAACCAATTAACCGCTTACAAAACACTCACCAGATCGATTTGGTCTTAAGGTATCGGATGGAGGCTCGGTCAAATCCTCCACTTTCTTAAAAACATGATTTTATGAAGATCATGCCCGGGCAGATGCTTTGGCCAATGCCGCACGTAGCGTTACATAGCCCAAGTCTTGGGTGTACCGCGCTCAGTCATCCACGATGGTCCGCCAACGGAAGTCTCGATGGAAGAGAAGACGTTGACCGCAATGTACGACGGCTAGAATCTGTCGTTTTATTGCTTTTACCGTACTACGATACCGTCATTTAACAGCTTCCTTAATAGATAGTCAACTCCATATGGTCCGAAATGTAAGGATGAACAGACATGAGAAGGCTTTGTGAGAATAGCCTTCAGGTTTTTTACTACTAGAGAGGCATTCAGTATCTAAGCCACTAATCATCTCTTTTGGACTCTTGAACAATAGGATGCTGTATTCTTCACAGATAAGTGTCAGTTTGGTTTGTGGCAATCTAATGAAAGGACCATGAGTGGAGAAGACGTGGAAAAGCTTTGCTTCATTGCCATGTGAGTCACAACAATTTCAAAGACAGTCAGTTAGAATGTGGGATGGAATCCACGTCCATGCCCGTACCGAACTGATTATTATACAGAATAGATCTTTGAAGTTCAGGCAGTAAAGCCTTGATCCCACGGCGTATAGTACATTTAGCAAGCTGTCTGCAAGCTGTAGTCCTATTCATTCCATTTATTGAGGACAAATTCGTGTACTAGATCGCATGTACGTTAAGTTGTCACCCGGTACTTGGAGGATGTTGGAGTTATCACAATAACTGGCCAGCTTATTCTCCTGACATGAATCCCATTTAACATTTATCGGACATGATAGAGAGATGGGTTAGACATCGTTCGCCTCTTCCAAGAGGCGTTGAACACTTCAAACCACTATTGTTGAAGAAAGGGATTCTGTTTCATAGGCGAATTCCGATAGCTTATTTACTCGAAGCCTAGGAGACTTAAGGCCCTCAGCCAGAGGAGTTAACACGTGCTATTAAGAGCAAAACTACGTACCTAATAAATTGATAAATTGTAATCTATGACTAAATGATGATGGTGAATTTTTCTTGCAAACCATTACAATCGAATAATTTTTATTACAACAATTTCTGTCCTCGTTTAATTTGATTTACATTAAAATAAGTATTTTATAATTAATATAACGATAAAAATACATATATTTGGAAATAAACAATGAAATACGAGTGCCAGGCTTTTTGTCTTTGAGTGTATATGGCCCTATTTTATCTTTGATTAAAAATTATTTTTAAATAATATCCTACTTTCGAAATGGTTGTTTATAGTGGTCTGTACCACTGATAACAATAGTCTCTACCGTGATTATACAGAATTCACCAGTACAATTACAATCCCCAGTCTCCTGTTCCATTTATTGAATGTCGAAAACCTATTTTCTTATTTAATTTAAGACAGTTAAATTTCCTTTTAGGCCCTTGGAAGGATACTGCTCCAAATACTTGGTTTGCAACTTAAATGGAAAATTTGAAGAAAGGCGTTGCGCGAATGGTATGACCTTCGACAGTGTGAAGAAAGTGTGTTCTCCGGACGCGCAGTGTCAGAAGTACGAGCCGGTGGTCAACCAATGCGATCGTTTTAAAGTAAACGGCCGATTGGGAAAGTGCCGAATGGGTGACAGATTTGACTATTTCAAACTGGAGTGCGTGGACTACGCTATGGCCCACTGCCTGAAGACTTGCCTAAACGGAACCAGGAAACACCACAATGACGACTGCAGCAAATACTACGACTGCGTTAAGGGCGAGTTCGTGGAGAGGTCGTGCGGATGGCTGCAGAAGTTCGACTCGGCAAGTCAAAAGTGCGCTTATTTCCGGTATAAATGTAAATACGCGCCGGCCGACTGCCAAAACGGCTTTAAAAAACGTGGCAGCGACTGCCGGTCCTACTTGGAATGCTCGGACAAACATTTCGAAGCAAAATCTTGCTCTTTTTTCAAGTACTTCAATACGAGCACTTCTTCTTGCGACTGGTTCTGGAGGGTGTCTTGCGAAAAACGCTTATTCAACGTTTTGGCCCTGACGTCTTGCTCAGAAGGCGAAAAGGAGTCGGTGCCCGGCACCTGCAGATTGTACCGAGAATGCGTCGAAGGAAAATGGGAAGACAAAATGTGCTCTCCCTGTCAGAATTTTAACGGAGAGATGAAAACGTGCGACTACGTGTGGAAGAACCCTTGTGCAAAGGACGTCACGGATCCGACACCGCCGACTGCAGAACTGCCCGGTTCATTACCGACGGGGGATCCTTTTTCACCGACGACTCCAGCACCTAAAGTGTGCGCTGAAGGTGCTGTAAAGCCGCTTAAAGACAACTGCAAAGCTTACGACCTTTGCAAAAACAACGAATGGGTCGTTACCAAATGCTGGTTTTGGCAAAAATTCGACGTACCTTCGAATACATGCGTCGTCTCGTACAAGGCGAAATGCCCTACGCCTTCCAGTTACTGAAAATTGTTAATAAATAATTTATTTATAAGCTGCTAATTATCATTTACGTATCAATTATCGTTATACCAACAATTACTGTAACTCTTTTGCAAGTTTACAATCCATTCTGACAATGCTCATTTGTACATTAAGAAATGATATATTTAATTTTGAACGTTCTACTGTTAAATTAAATCTTCACTTGTTCAAGTTAATGACGCTGCTCCTAGTTTTATTAATTAATAGATATTGACCAATTTCTAAATAAGGAAATCAATTCTAAGATCAATCAATGCCAACAGTTTTATGATTCATATTGATAGTAAAATACCAAAAACATAACATTTCAAAATCACTTCCTGTTTTAAAGCAAGAACATGCATAAGAATATTTACCGTAAAAGTTCTGCTAGGAAGAGTATAAAATGTATACAATCATAAAAATAGTAATTAATTGTTGAGATTATTAGAAACTAGAAACATAAATAGATATTTTGAGTAATTAAAAGTACTATATCTTACAATTTCTTATTTATTAAACATACGAAAAACTAACCCTTAAAGTTTTTTAAACGAACAATAATTCATTAGCAAAACAAATGATTAGTGCTGGCTTTACGGCACGTTACGTAAATTATCGTTTGCCTCTTCGTACTTCCAAGTTTAGAACACTATGAGCGAAGTTCAAGCACGGATGTCACTCAGGTAGGTAATAACGTGGGACCAGCTCCCCAAGAGGCATTACTTAGAAACTTTGGATGGCATCCAGCCAGAAAAACTTAAAGTCCGTCGAGACGTATTTTCTGGTGTTTCACGATCTTCACTTTGTGAATATTAACGAACATGTGAACATCGTAGTTTGGTCGACCGTGACCACCGTGGTCCGTGAGTTACCGCTTTATGTTTCAGGATTTTCAGAAGTTGAATTTTATCTGTCAATATCATGATGCATTTAAACTGAATATAAAGGAACGCAATTGTAGCGCGTGGAGAAGGATTGTTAGCATGTAATCCCATATTTGCCTCCAATATGTAGGTTTGATGCCACGTGATCCCATAGCTCTCATAGAATTGTATTATCAAATTGTGGTCGGATAAGCCTAAGCCATGTGAAGGGTTTGTTCCTCGTTATTCCATAGGTACCATTTAACTGAAAATTGCTTGAGTGGTGATCCCATAGTTCAATTCACCAGTCACATCACCAAATTTTAAGGTTTGTTGCATGAGAACTCCACAGTTACAACCAAATTTTAGTGTTTGTTGCTTAATAGTTCCATAGTTACCGCCAAATTTTAGGGATTTTGCCTAATGGTTCCATAGTTGTTCACCATATGGAATCGAGGTCCCGATTGTCCATATAGCACTTAAACCTAACTACGTCTATTGTGCAAGGGATAGTTCAGTTGTCCCTGTCTCTTAGACATAATCAACATCGGACAATTGATAATATTCCAGTTTTTTAAATGATCCTGTAAATATACCAGCTAGAGTTCCTTTCTGTTGAGAAGGATTTCCCAACGGGGAGGTTGTTTTTAAGAGTAGTCTTTTTGATGGCACTTTACAGGTTTACACTTCCAGTATTAGTTTAATGTTTTGTTGATATGTTCTGGGAACGGCGTTCCTTTAAGAACCACAAAATCAAAATACGATAAATAAAGAGGTGTGTTTCAAAAGATATTATGACAAACTACTGGAAGTTTATAACAATTAAAACAAATTGAAGGTCTGGATAAAAGTAATTGAAAAGCAATAAAAAATATATAGCATAAAGCATAAGCATGATGCATATAAGCATATAAGATATATATATATATATATAGCAATAAACTGAATGTAAGATTGAACAAGCCCATGAAAGGAAAAGTCCAGAAGGTAGCTCAACTTCTTGTAAACCTGGGGTAAATTGTATATTAAATAAATAATCATACTTGAAGACTTGAATGTCTGAATTTGTTTATACTAATAATGTGCACAGGTTATGAATTCCACAGTCGAGCTGAAAGGTTAATCTCTTCGCTCTAGGTATATAAATGTTGGAGGAGGAGTCGTGTTTTCGGCAGGAAACAATTTATTCTTTATTTACCCAAGCTTCCCGTTCTCTAGTAATGTGGTTGTTGTATATGCCACAACGTGAATATAGGCCTATGAGTCGTTCCTCATTTTTAACAAGAATATCTGCTCCAGAGTTGTAAAATTTTATTGTTTTATTTTGAATTTACTAGAGCCTATTATAGCTATCACTCTATTGCGATCTTTGCGGGGATCCCCTTCACATCAAGCAAATCAAGCGTTTCACGAGTGTGAAAAAATATCCGTGCCACAACTCAAACAAATTAATTAAAAAAAAAAAAATCGGGACATAATCCAAATTAAGAAAATAAAATGAAATAGTGATCAGTGACATACGTACTACGTAGCCCCTTGCTATTTACAATTAAAAAAAGAGGTGCCTTCAACAACTTGAATAAGAGGTCTTTCCTCGTCCTTTCGGGTCTCAGCTTACTTTCCGAGCCTGCGATTGGGATTAGCTTATCCTAACACAAAGGATAATCCTAGTTGTAAAAAAAAAATTATAACTCAGGGGAGAACAGAAAAAAATCGGCCTGAATGTCTCCTTGGCGGAATCTTTGCCCACCTCTTCTTTCTTTCGAGGAGGGCATCGTCATAATTCCTACCTACGTACTTTCTCCGTTTCCATTCTAATATGCCCCAGGATTGATTTTAAGTTTCAATGATAGTAGAACTGGAAGTTAGATGAGCGGATAATCTGATAAATGTCATGCTCAATTATGTGACGAATGTCATGTAGAACGTTCCTATTTCGGTACGTTGTAGATCTTTAAATTGCCGAATAGTGGCACAAGGATGACGTTCTAATTAGGAGAACGGAGATGATGGATTGGAAAACAGAGTAATAAGGGCATGTGCTTTGGTTGATCTCGAACCCGCTAGAATTCTCCGTTTGGTCCGTTCGGCACGATGCGATCGACCGAGTGCCGCGAGTCTTAGGAATTGAGCTGGTCGCGTTTCACCCCTCGCGGTCTGTCCGTGGGGGCGGCTCACGCCCACCCTGAAACCTGAATGGAGCATTGATTTTCCAGGACGGGCCGTGCCGCCGTGGAAATTTCCAGTCGGGGGTGGGCGCATGTCGGGATCGATAGTCGCCCCTTCGCGAAACCGGCTGAAATAAGGGCCAATGGGTCAAACGAAGAACGGGGATAATTTTCCTCCCTTGAAACCGGCGGGGAAATTTCGACCACTTTCGAGCGCATGTGCTTGCAAAAAAGTCACATTTTTGAAAATATAGCCTCTTTTTGTGACAGCTCACAAAACAGAAACGACATTTTGGTATTTGGAAATTCTTCATCATCCCCCTGATAAACAATCATCTATGGCTAAATGTGTGAATCGTGGTCAGGGTGATCAATTTTGATCCTTTCAATAATCAATATCTATTTTCAGCATAATGTTATAAATGTACAATATTAGCAGGCAAATTCAAAACCGTTGAAGTTGTCAAAAGATCAAATTGTTTTTCTGATAATTTGGATGAATAATTATTGGTAGTCAAGTTCATAAGTGATAATCCACACGAGATCGCGTTCCCTTTCTGGCTTATTAATTTTTTAAATTAATTGGAAACGCTTATAGGTTTAGGTTTAGCGGAGTGGTATGCGCGTAAAAAAGTAGAATTTTGGATAGTCCACTTCTAAGCTGGTCGACTAATTCTTCTTCCTTTTATAAAATTAACCAATGTGTACTTTTTCCTTCTGGTCAGAAATTGAAGTTATTGTAAGATGCGGGCAGAAAGGCAAATGTTAAAAAAAGGGAATGTTGGTTAGTAACATGCTAAGAAAGAACAAACTTCATATTTTCAGTTATTTAACGAATTATTATAGGATATAGGACCCAATTACCCCGAGGAAGATCGAATTATCTGAAGTAATGTTATCAAATGTGTAAATGTAATTTATTAGCGTGAATGGCAGGGCTTTATCCCCAATTATCCCGAGGAATATCGAGTACTCTGGAATAGCGTGAATGCTAACCAGACTATCATGTTTATACGTTTCTGTGGTTTTGATTATTTGTGTTATTTTATCCACAATTGACGAGACCCTGAGTTACAAAGTGGCTAGCAATTGTTTAAAGAAAAGAGAGCGTCAGTACACTTATATCATATAACATCATAACTTGGCTGGAGAATCAGTAAAATAAATTAGTTGGTTTAAAACGAAATGAAATGCAAAGGTAAAAAAGAGCGAGCCTGGCTCTGTCCAATTTAGTTTGCAGGCCCTAAAAACAAAAAAAAAGTTTATTCCCAAAAGTTTAAATTACTTTTTCCCAACATTCCTGAACGATGTCATCGGGTTTCATACTATTTTGTACGTGACTTGTCACGATTGATCGTGCAAAAGGTCTGGAGCTTCGGGTTTATTTTCTCCTTATTTAACATGGACAATTTTGGCAAACGTTTTACGACTGTGATTAATTTTTATATTATAGAATTGAAATGAAACTCGATGAAAAAAGATGACAATTTATTTCGAAAATCATATTTTTTATGTCACTAAGAACTAATTTCCCAATGATTTACCATTACGGGACAAATATTTAACCGTTAAACCAGTGATTATTGGTTTTTTTAATTTGTTTTATAAGTAATTGTACGTTTTAAATTTATACGACTACAAAAACTAGATTTCTTATTACAGTTATGATAAAGAAATTAATCGATTGATATTTTTTTTAAATTCTTTCATGTAGAACCATTTGAATATTTTGTTTATTTTACGTTTTTATGATTATAAAAACAATATTTTTGATATATTTATCATTGTGAGACAAAATTAACAATTATGCCGAGAATTAATGTTTCTTTTAGGCAGATTGATTCTTTTTCTGCGTATTCGTGTTCTTCTTTCTCTATGTTGAGGTAAGATGCGGGTAAAAAATTTAAAAAAATTATAAAAGAAGAAACGAGATTTTGGATGAGGATGACAGCCTTTTTGGATTAACGGTCGCTGAAGGTTTTTGAAAAGAGACTGAGACATAAAATAAGCGTAATAATGGCATAAGGAAAAGCAGTTATTAGGCAGATTGGCATAAGGCATTACAAGCATAGTCTTTCTCATTTCGCATATCCATTTTTGAAATTTCGCCTTTTTTTTTTAAAGAAAATTTATATTTTCTATATTTTTAAGATAAATTTTCCTTGTTGGTGCTTGTGGTTTGGCCAGTATGTATAGATGGATTCGCAGGTACATATTTTAAATTTTGGTCTTTTTTTTTAATCGTCTTTTTTAGGCTGTCCTATGATAGAATAGAATAAAATAAAATTGGATCACGTGGAGACGCTTCCGCGCCGACGCCGGCATCCGCAGTCGTGCCACGACCGGCTTCTCGAATTCCCTGCTTCCCCAGTTGGAAGGGGCGGAAGAAGTATATTCGGCTTCTCAGTTGACCCCAGGCCCAAAACGGAACAGCGTCCACGCCGGGGGATAAACCGCATGTGCCATGAAATAACTGAGAAGGACTCACGAAACCACAAAAACAACGATATAACCCTTGCAAGAACAAAGAAAGATATACGCCGAGTGTTTTTGTTTCCCGATATCAATTAAGGTTGGGGGTGGTAAGTTCCGTCACACCTTGTGAAAGCAAAAAAACAAAAAAAAAAAAACCACCGCGGTTGCCAAAATTGTGAAACATTTTCTACTAGAAGAAACCTGTTAACTGCGAATCTGTACGTTTTCATCTGAAGGAACAAGGATTGAAAATGAATGTAAGTATGACTTTTTTCTCATAGCTATATCATCATCCTATGCATTTCTCTATGAAGATCGACCGACATACCTGAAAGTCAAGCTTCGAAGTACTTAAAACATCAGTACTACTTTGTTTTTCGTAGTAATAAAAGTCGTAGTAGTGCTTTCTCTATTCAAATTTGATACTAATTACCAATAAATAAATTAATAAAAATATTATAAAGTTCTTATCTTTAATGTATGCAACTTTAATAATAAGTAAAAGGAAAATTAATTTAATCCCATTTCCTGGATGAAAGTTTCCTTCATCCCCTATTTGTCTTGTGTCTGGTCTTCCACCCGTCGATTTACAAACAGTCAAATATTTATGTCAGACCATATGCGATCGGAATGACAATTATGCTCGTAAAGATTCTATGTAAAATGTACTTCCTGGTACACGTGTTTATGCTATCTGAATCAAGGCTTTAAATTAAGGAGGTAGTTAAAATGCGATTTCGGTTATTAACCTTCGATTTACTTACATCTAGATATGTCATTTTTTTAAGTTTATTTTTCGTAAAGTGTATCAAATCAATCCCTTTGGGAAACTCTTTCGATATAATCATCAGCACGAAATATTTTCTCGGTTAATTACCAAGTTGTCCTGCGTCAAACTGCCTTCCAATGAAAACTGCGAATCTCAAGTAGTCAGTTGAATTTTCCACCTGACGTGGTGTCGAAGTGAAAAATTTCATTCTAAACTGAAACAGAAGCGATGGAAAATAAACGAGACCTACGAAAACCCTGAAAGAAATTAATGCTTCGAATCATGTTTATTAATTTTGTACTATCGTAATAATAAATTATCGGATTTATAAATCATAGAGAACCGAGCGCAAGGCTGAAAATACACCAGAGAGAAAAATCTCTGGCATTTCTGTTCGCATCTGTTTATACAAAAGTTGAAAATATTTTCATTCCGTTTATCCCTCAGCATTATTTAATTAATTAACGTTTAAATTCAATATTTGACGTAAATTTTTTTATGAATAATTGCTTTGATTTTGATTTTTTTATAAATAATAATATATTGTCACTTTACAAATCGATATAAATAAATGATGATATCCTTCCGAATGGCCATTTACGTCATCGTTAAAATGTCTTTTCATCATAAAACATATTTTGTGCCGTAACATTTTCAATGTCTCGTTCTCTTTTAGAACAATGCCCGTCAACAGAATAGAAAATGAGTGGCCGCTTTTTGTTTCGCTCTCGTAGCTCTTTAACCCAAAATGAAATAATTAACGATGAAAAATAGAGATCAATTTAAACCTATACTAATTTACATTGTAAATAAGCGTTGTATGTTAATTTCAGATCGCATCCACCTGACAGTTGCGGGTAAATCAGTCATCGCCGTCCGGGGTGGAGGAGGGGTGAAGAATGAGGAATTCCGAGGAGATCGGGACGGAGTTGGGCCCGGTGAACGGCGGCATCCGGGTTGTCGTCCACTCCGAAGAACAGGGAGATGTCCCGGAGAGGGCGTCCTGGGACAACAAGGTCCAATTTATGCTCAGCATCATCGGGTATTCCGTCGGCCTGGGGAATATCTGGAGGTTTCCGTATCTCTGCCAGCAAAATGGAGGAGGTGAGGGGGTTTCAAAACAATGAACCTGCGGGTTGGTCGTTGCAGATTATTTTGGCCTTCTCCTAGCTGTTTTGGTTTTTATAGATGTATTACTATATTATCCACTGTTGCTATCGCTAAAACCCCACACTGATACTGGTGAAAGGCCGGAATACTCTGACAGACCAAAACAGCGACATTTGACAGTTCGAAATTTTCCGAAAAGACCAAGTTGCAAGTAAACAATCGTAAGGAAGGAGTTTCATGAGCAAAAACCTAAGTAACCTAACATATAACTATTTCACCAACGATTTAATAATGGCTAAATAATCATCAAGAACAGTTGACAGCTGACAGTAGTTTGATGAAACCTCTTTGTTTGGTTATCCCACTGGAAGTCGGTACATACTTAAAAATAACAAACATTTGGTTCGTCGTTCTATTTATTATACGGTGTAAAACTCATTGCAAGCATAGTGCCTCAGGTGAACGACATAAATTGAGTAATGATGATCGGATCATCCATCAGGTCATCGTCGTTTGAGGCGATGTGAAGGGTTCTTAAGGTGGGGTGAGGTTGAAAACGCTTGAACAGTAGGATGGGTTGAAAGACTGTAGTGAAACTTGAGAAAATGGGAACGGATCAATTCTTTGGGAATGTTAATATTGTCCTATGTGGATATTGTGTGTCACGTCATTGTGGATATTGAGGTACGAGACAGAGTAAGAAATTTCGGGAATTCTTCTGAGGACTTCTGATCGGAAAGCTTGTATTGGATGGTAGAAGGCTTGGTAGTATCCTACAGTTCTGCTCCGTCTGTCCAACTAGGCTGAAGTAATGTTTTGTAAAGTTCATTTGTTCTTTACTGTCGTATAAGTCTTCGCAGTTGTCCAACTTATCTAGTTCTTAACACTTGAGTCTTGTGTGATCCATGACAGTCTACTGCCTAATTCTAAGTATAGCCTATTTTATTTAACTACATCTGATGTTCTTCATTGTTGACGTGGGCAAGGATGTTTAGCGCGAACATAATTCGGGTGCATTTGCCCACGTTAAGTTTCATTTTACACGTTTTGCACCATTAATCTATGAGCACAAGATACTCCTGTATATTGGAGGTGGCTTGGGTAGCACGCAAGATGTAAAATTGGTGTTACGATGTATCAGCAATTGTATATAGGATGGGACCAAGGATGTTCCCTTGTGGGGGTCCAGGCAGACCGTCCTGGATCGGCCTGACTTCCGAAAACTCGTTTGCGCATCTCACTCTGAAGCAGAGGTCGGCAAGGATATTAGGATTACATATTAAAACAAGTATTCTTTAATGAAACGTGGTGACAACTTGAGTTTTTTTAAAGAAAAATAGTACATTGTGATATATAAACTGACCTCGAGCTACCCGGTCGTAAGGGTCTGCCTGGAGCGGCCACCTCCCGGGCAAATCGGTGAGCCGGTTCGTTCCGGCGGTGCAAAAGAAAAATTCCATGACGGAATAACATCCGATTAAACCTTCAATTGGCCGAATTGGATAGAAGCGATTCGGAATTGGCGTCCCGCTTATTGATTCCCTATAAACGAATCCGGACCGACAATGACCCGGTGACCTCCGCCACGCCTCGAAACGCGAACAGCGATATGCGGAAGCGTCGTCTCGACAAAGGTGAACCTGACGTTATTTTTCGCGTACACATTTCAAAGGTTCAGGGGTTGAAAACATTCTTTTAGAAGAATAACCGAGGTTTGAGGTCAATCTTAAGGTTGGTCAGCAATTCCATCATCACTTAGCCTATGCTATCTGTTTGATGTATCGCCTTTTAGCGATATAATTCACATTTTTATGAATGTGTTTTAATAAAATATTATGCAAAAATGCAGGATTTTTTTAAACACTGCTTATGTATGATTCAAATCAACACATAAAAATGACAAACACGCGATCACTGCAGGCTGCATGTCTGATTGCCCCGAGGAGAAACGGTTTTTTTCTTAGTATTTTCTTGTTTTTTAAAAGAAGTGTAATTGAGGTGATTTCGATTTTTGCATGTCCTAATTTCGTACCGGTTGCATGACGGGGAGGGTGACGGACAAAGGCGTTGCGAAACGCTCTGACGTACCTTTTCATTCCCTTTTGAAAAGAAAGGGGGAGACCAGCAGAAATCCTTCAACTTTTCTTTTATTTTAATATAAAACAAATCACTCTTATCTTTTTAATAATTCACGCTAACAATGATGTAAAGATAATTATTTTAATTTTCGTTCCATTAATTATTTTTTCCTGGCTTGGAGCCCGATTCCGATTATTCCGTCAGTGTTCCCCCGTTCTATTTCAGTCGTGCGCCACCCTATAAATGAATTTTGGCCCTGGGCCCGGTAAATCCGAGTGACGTATCCTGGGAACCTCTCTCTATTGAGGCCCGTTTTGTAAAAATATACCCCGAATTCCAATTCGGAGTGTGCCAAAAAGTGTTGTTACTTTTGTATGTGTCTAACCGCCGAACACGTGTTGCGACCTTTTTGACGAACGGCTCGGAAAACGTCCGAACGTGGAAACAGGCCGACGACTGACCAGAGGCAACGGAGGACGATGTGATACGAGTTTAACAAACAACCGCCTATTAACGTAATTGTAAAATGGGACGTGGAGTGCGAGAGTTGATGAGCTATTTGCATGAAAGATGGCCATCAGGATTTACGTCAAACCGCGAGAATAGGTGGACCAAAAATAAACAATGAATGCAGAGGGAAAACAGCGATATAACGTCTTTTAACTGTATTTTAACTGTACCTTTTTTTATATACTGAATTTATCTGCTTATATACTTTTTATTCATTTTTCTCTTGTTCCTTTGCCAATTTTCAACATTGCTAAAAATGGAAAGAAAAAGAATCGGCTGATCGACTAAAAGAACACGTTTCATAATAATTGTTTTAACTAGATTTTTGTATGTGTATAGACAGAAATAGAAAGGCAAAACGCGGAATTGTTTATTTCAAACTACATGTATTTTTAAGGCTGTATTAATTACAGCATACTTATTTTAATGTAAACCAAATTAAACGAGATTAGAAATTCATGAGTTTTAATATAACTTATTTGGACTTGGATTTTGGATTTATATAGGCACCGATCTGCTCATGCACGCACATGTTGTAAGTGCACTGACCCGATAAAAGACTGCCCTTATTTGTCACATTGTTTTTATCAATAAATATTTGTTTATGTTTTAAATTGGGAATTTCAATTAGAAGTAAACACACTTAATCTGTAATTCAAAACAAGGAAAAAGTTTTGAATGTTTACTTTTTACGGAATTTCAAATGTTTATTCAGCCTCATTTGAATTCTGAAGCGATAAACTGTTTAGTTTTCATCTTTGTTTTCTTAATTTAAATTTTTAAACTTAAAAATGCCACTTAGTGCTGAGGATGTTGCTTGTGGTGTGGCATTTATTGATGATGGACGTTCCATCAGGTATGCGGCTATTGCCATCAGAGTTACCTACGAAACTCTGCCAGTCGCCGTTAGACGTTTTCGAGAAACAGTGTCCTACCATAGAAGGCCCGGACTCCCTAGGGTAAAAGGACCACAGGATGACGTTTTTTGACTGAGAATTTTGTGAAACCGGTACCTTACTGTTGTTCAAGCGTTTCATCAGCTCCGGGAAGTTCGAGGTGTCCAAATTTCTGAACACACTGCTCGAAAAAGATTAAATCAGTATGGACTGATGGCTTTTCGCCCCGTAAGAGGACCAGAATCGACCAGAGCACACGTAGTTGCACGGCTCGCATTTGCTCGAGAACACGATCATTGGTCCTTGGACGATTGGTCTGCTGGGCTTTTCACAGATGGGTGTAGATTTGCTCTACGATCTTTAGATGGGCGTGAAAGAGTGTGGAGAAGCGAAATGAAAGGTGCGAACCCTGTAATTTTTTCCAGAGCCAACCTTTTCAACGTAGCTCACTGATGGTATGGGCGGGAATTTCATTGGAGGGTCACACAGTGTTGGTTGTTGCTAGTGGAGGGTCTTTGACGGCTATGTGGATGTAATTTTGGGACACCATGCGTTACCTATCCTAGATGAAATCATCTACAATCCTATTCTAATGTCCACATGTTGCTCGCATAGTACAAATCTACCTTCAACAGCATAATATCAGGGTCTTAGCCAGACCTTTCTCCAGACTTGAACCCCATCGAAAATTTATGAGATAACCTCAAAAGACGAATAAGAGCACGTCCATCACTTCCAGATACACTCCACAATCTTGAAAGGAATCTTCATGAAGCTCCAGCAAAGAGACATTTTCAGACAGATGGAGAGGTGACTTCGAACCCGAATTGAAATGTTAATTAAAAATCTAAAACAAAATTAAAGCAAATTTTATCTATCCGTCTTTTTTCGTTTTCCTTAGCAATTTACATTTTCATTAATTTTTTATACAAATACTCAATTAATAAACGCTAAAAAACGTGAAACTTTGATTAATATGTAAAAATAAATGAAAATCAAGTTATATTACAAGTGGGTGGAATGTTTTGCCTATCAGTGTACATACATACGAACATGTGCCGAGTTGAGCCTACTCCCTTTTCGTAGCTTTTGCTATTTACAGTAAATTGCCGGCAGACTCGAGAATCACCCATTCCGGGTGTTGGCAGTCCGGGGGCAGATCTCATTCTTATCCGTCCAGCCGCCGTAGTTGCTCCGGGGGGGAGTGCGACAACAGCTAGGTCAATTCAGTTCTCAACGCATGCTGTTCCAAACCCATTAGTACTCACGTTCGTTCTTAAATACATCCACTCCTATTTACATACCATTCAAATAGGGTGGTGGGGTACTGGATATTCCTCCATCATCGTTTACACATTATTCAACTGACCTAATTGAGGGTCGATGGGGTACTCGATGATATCCCTCCATCACCCTTTACATATATTATACAAGTAACCTAATTAGAGGGTAGATTGGGTACTCGATATTCCACCATCGACCCTCTCACATCACACATTCACGTTAATAAATCCATTCACTCTCGACAAATGCTAGGAAAAATTAGTTAATTATGATAGTTTCAAAGAAAATTCACCAAAAGACCAGAAAATCATATCGCATATTTAATTTAAGTAACAATTTATTACCAAGGGTTGCACTCAATAACGCGTATTACCTCCTCCTAGAAGAGTCTCCTAGGTATCGAGCAAATAATTGATCGGACTTCGTCTTGTGAAACAGAATCCCATTATTCAACAAGAGCGGTTTGAATCTGTTCAACGGTTGTTGGAAGCGGCAAACAATGTCTAACCCCATCTCTCTATCATGTCCATTAAGTGTTCTACAGTATTCATGTCAAAAGAACGAGCTGGCTAATTGTTTGTGGTAATCCCAATATCCTCCAAGTACTGGGCGGGAACGAGCTATATGCAGTCGAACATTATCATGCATTAACATCCTCAATAAATGGAGTGAATGGGACCACAGCTTTTGGAAGATCTGGATTACTACAACTAAAAATTTTTTATTTGCAGCCTATACATATTTGTTCGTGTTACAAATATGATCACAGTACGTTTCTTTTGTTATCCCTTACGCCAGCGCTGCACCCGAAGGACACATGCCATGAGAAACCAACCAATGCTTGCACTCAGTGAGGGATTAACTGTAAATTAATAATAAGGATGTCTCGAGGCCATCGTCGATTAAGGCGACGTGGGGGGTTCTCAGGATGGGAATGTGTAGAGAGAGCTCGAGCAGTATGGTTAGGATAGTTCTAGAGATTGATGTGAAACTTTTGAAACCGGGAACGGATCACCACGGTTCGCTGAAAAAAGGAATGTTGAGTTTGTTGTGAATAGTGATGTTAGTGCCATGACAAGGAGCTTTGGCGATTTGTCTGAGGACGTGGAAGAATTGAATGCGCTGGGTATTGGATGGCTTGGCAGAACTCCACAGTTCCACTCCGGATGTCCAAAATATGTCCAAAATAGTCGCAGAGAAGTCTTGTATAAGATTAGTTTAATTATGACTGTCAACACGGATTTTGGCCTTAGAAGTCTTAAGTAATAAAAACAAAAATCTCAACAATGGAAAACTTTTCACTAAGCAATTAAGTTAAAATGCACAACGTTTATATTAGTTTTTTGTATTAAAACTTTGTTAAATCAGATAAGTGTATGGCTAGACTTTACCCAAAGAAGGTGCAACCAAAATCACTCACCGGCAACGAGTATAGGTCCGACCTCGATCAGTATACCACTGACGAAGGCCACAATGAAACATGTGCCTCGCGAGTGAACAGTGCCTCCGGACAATATGTAAAATAAATCCATACATGTATTTATTGGGTTGTCCGGAAAATAATGCAGGATTTTGGTATTAAACAAAAAAAAAGAAACTAGTTACTTTAAAGCAATGTTCTTTAATCAAAATAATTTCCCATACNTACAAATGAGTAATCCTGTAAACGTAAACAGAATATTTTATATAGATTTTTTTTAATGAAAACTTAAAATCCTGCATTATTTTCCGGACAACCCAATAGAAGCCATACTTGACTGAAATCATTATTTTAATTATATCTAAGGCATTGGTTGAGATGAAAAAGCCAGCATCACGAGCGGGATTCGAACCCACGACCTTCGGGTTGCACGTTGAGATAAGGAAACTGGGTTGATCGAAGCCACAATTGCTCAAGTGGTTAGCAGCTTATTGAGCCAAAGGTCGTGGGTTTGAATCCAGCTTGTGACACTAGCTTTTTCATATCAACCAAGTTCTTAAATAAAAAGTATAATTAATTAACATGTAAAATCAATATTCAGCATTGACTATCTTCTCATCGCGGTTTTCAGCAAAATTATTGTTTGTATATTTAGAAAATATTTGTATTTAGTGGGATATAAATTTAGCGCCCGGTGAAAATAAGTTTCATCAGTCTCCGCTGAAATCAGAATAGAAAAAAATATTTAATAACTTAAGTTCTTAATGTTGCTTATTATTGTTTATTATTTCCTATTTTCAAAGGAAAAAATGTTAGCACTAAGTTATTAAGGTGGGCTAAACCTGCTATCCTGAAGGCCACTTTGCAATATATATTTTTTTCTTTTGAAATTAATTTCATATAAATTCCATGGTCTATGCCGGGATTTGAAGCCAGGACTGTTAGCGTGGCATATATGATTTTGTATTAATAATTATTTTCCTGTTTTCAGGTGCGTTCCTTATTCCGTTTGCGATTATGCTTATCCTCGAAGGCATTCCGTTATTCTTGATTGAGCTCGGGATTGGGCAGAAGATGCGTTTGGGCGCCCTCGGAGCGTGGAACACGATCCACCCTTGGCTAGGAGGCTTGGGCGTCGCTTCCTGCACGGTCACTTTCTTCGTCGCCCTCTATTATAACGTCATCATCACTTGGTGCTTCTATTACCTCTTCAATTCTTTCAGAGTGAGTTAGAAAGAATCCGAAGCGGATTGTATAATCCATTGATAAACACGGTTGACTTGCATTCCAGAGTCCCCTCCCTTGGGCAGAATGCCCAATGTTAAACGAAACGACCGTCGTCCCCGAGTGTGAGAAATCGTCGGAGACCGCCTATTTCTGGTACAGGACGACCCTCGACGTCTCCCCGAGCATGGACGATTTCGGTGGTATGAAATGGTGGATCGTCCTCTGTCTACTGCTCGCTTGGATCGTCGTATTTTTTATTGTCATGAAGGGCATCCAATCGTCTGGAAAGGTAAAACATCCCTCGTTGACTCGAGATCGATCATAATCATCAATACGGTGGGTTTTAGGTGGTTTACTTTACTTCAATGTTTCCGTACATCGTGTTGACCATATTCTTCATTAGAGGTATAACACTGAAAGGGGCCGGAGCAGGGCTGATGCACATGTACACGCCGAAGGCGAGTTATCCCATAGATCTCTAAGAGACAAACATTAATTCAATTGAATCCAGGTGGAAAAGCTGTTGAATCCGAACGTTTGGCTTGACGCGGCAACTCAGGTCTTTTATTCTTTCGGTCTGGCGTTCGGTTCGCTCATCGCCTTCGGGAGCTACAACCCGCCGAAGAACAACTGCGTCCGGGACGTGATCCTCGTCTCCATCTGCAACGCCCTCACCGCCATTTACGCCAGTCTCGTCGTTTTCGCGATTCTCGGATTCAAGGCGATGCTGAACTACGATAAATGTCTTCTGCAGTAAGAACTTGAAGTCTTTCACTCCTATAACACGCCCTTCTATTTATCACGGTTTCTACTTTTCCCAGCAACAAAAATCACATCATGGAGTTGAAGAATCAAGGAAAAATCATACCCATTGAGATTATCGATCAAGTCAACAACATGGAGCCACCGAATTCGACCGCGTACGATTTGGAAATGTGCAGCTTGGCCAAACAGCTAGATCAGGTTTGTTAGATTTCTGCTTGAGGTCGGAGGAGAGCTAAACCTGTAGCTCGGTCGTTTCTCGCCATCGTGGTCCGCCTATTCTCGCCAGCTTTTTCTCCCAGGAAAAAAATTGTGTTTTTAACTCACAAGTCTACTACAGAAGTTGGCGAAAAACCACCAAGCTAACAAATTTGGTTTGTTGTACTGTTTTTTGGAACCGTCTAATTCTATTTTAACGTCCAGGCGGCAGAAGGTACAGGGTTGGCGTTCATAGTATTCACCCAAGCTATCGTCGAACTCCCTGGAGCACCTTTCTGGGCCATCATATTCTTCCTGATGCTACTCAGTCTCGGGATCGGTTCGCAGATCGGCATTCTAGAGGGTATGCTCTGCACAATATTCGACATCGATATATTCAAGAGGATAAGGAAACCTTATCTTACGGGTGAGTTCTAATATACTATACCTCCTATTCTATTATTCTACTTTCGTTATACTTTATCATGCAGTAGATGTCTTTTACACGGAAAAGGCGTTATACTGAAATAAATTATTAAACCGTAGGTTTCGTCTGTCTCATTTGCTTCATCGTCGGATTGATTTTCACGACCGGTGCTGGCGAATATTGGCTTAAACTTTTCGACTCTTTCGCCGGGACAATCGGCCTCGTGGTCATCGCTCTTTTGGAAATGATCGCTGTCATATTCATTTACGGACACGAGAAGTGAGAATAAAACACGTCTTTTAAAATTCGGGAGGTCTCGCTAAAACCGAATTCTTTTACAGGTTCACACAGGACATCGAAGACATGACCGGGTACAGGCCGGGGATTTACTGGCAGGTGACTTGGCGTTTCCTCGCTCCCGTGATTATGACGTGCATCCTCATCTCTTCAATCGCCTTCCGAATAATAAAAAAATCAACTTACATGGCCTGGGATAAGAACAAGGTGATTAATTCATAAGGAAGAAAAATTTCTTTAACCGCTTGACCTTTCTGCTTTTTGTCCTCTAATCAATCAATAATCCAAAACAAACGATCTTGCACGAACTTCCGTAACTTTTCCAAAACTGGGTTTTGGTAATAATCGGATTGAGATTTGGATTTATATATCCATAATGTACACAACTCATTACGGATTGCGATTAAGAAAATATTAAAATAGAAACACACGTATCACCTTCACAATGAACAGACGAATCATGGACTAAATCCGACGGAGATAGTCCGACTTCAAGCACAGCTTTTTTTATCAAAAATATTTATTCCACATCTAGACTCACGCATCTCAATCCTCCCAACCAATATTCTCACCGAACTTCAGGAACCCTACAATTTTCCCTTAATCCCAAACCATCTTCTCGCAGAGAGAAAGGGAAAAGAAAATGATTGATTCGATAAGGCTGTCTTATGAGCCTTTCTAGCTCTCCTTGTACACAAATAATCTCGTTGATGCTCTGGCTAATGTGGTGAAGATCAATACCGATGACATTGTCCTACGTACGGAAAGCACGAAGATCTTGGATATGTAATTTTTGGAGCTCACATCAGCTGGTTTATTCTTAATATGAAGAACGAGGTTACAAAAAGGGTGGTGCAAAAAGTGGAGGACAAGACTGAATGAAGGAAAATGTACTCAGTGTAGGTTCAAATTGAAAAAATAGTCTTGCCCTCCGCTGTAAATCAACAACAAAGAGATATCGACTTCCACTCAAGTCAAATACCTACGACTACACCTACATAGCAGACTAACGTGGAATTCCCACGTAAGACTTAAAAGACAACAAATGAACAAAAGACATGACAACTATGAAGACACCTAGGACAGAAATTCGTCTTGACCAAGTCTTTGGACATCCTGAGTGGAGCTGAGGAGTTTTGCCAAGCCTTCAACACCCAGCGCATTCAATCCTTCAAATCAAAAGCCCTCAGACAAATCGGCAAAGCCCTTTCCTACGCTCTAACCTCACTATTCACAACATTCCTTTTGTTTCCGAACTGAACCGTTCTCGATTACAAAAGTTTCACACCAACCTCTCAATCCATCCTGACCGTACTGCTCGAGCCCTCTACACACATTGCCATCCCGGGAACATGCCACGGCACCTTAATCCCTCACACTGAGTGCCAGGATTGCTGGTTTCTCATGGCATGTGTCCTCCAAGTGCAACGCTTGCATTAAAGTCAGCGCTGAGACCCTGTGCAAAGAAAATCGTAGGGCATTTGTAATAACTGTAATATGCCGAAGGATTGTCACGCCATTTTAAAGGGCGTAAGGCATTGAAAAGATCTCTTTAAATAACGAAAAATTATAACAACCCTCTCCTCCGACGAGGCGCCTCAGGGGATTCGTAGGAAAGACCTTAGCACCCGATCTACATAGACTACAAATAAATTTAAGTAAAAAAATTGTAGAATATTTCGACGTGTTTCCAAGAGTCCTCTTCAGCTACAATGCTGCTTTTAATCGTGTGCTGAGATTTATTCAAAAATTAAACATCTAATTAACATAAGGACTCAGCAATAAAAACAGAAAATACAGAATTCGTATGTTTGAAAATGGCATCCTAGGTACTATCCATTGATTCAATTTCTAGGAATACCAAATAACATCAGTTTGAAAGATTGTTTTCTATAAATAAAAGTAATACATACTATATAATATATCAATAGAACAAAGAAACATGTTTTATCCATATTGATATGTTTTGGCTTGTAAAGGAGTTATATCAACACTTTCACTACTTCTGAAGCCTACTTTCTGCACTATGACCAAGTGATTGCTTATTAAGTCGTTTTTGTCACAAAAGTTGGTTTAATTTATGGTGTAATAAAGAAAAGATGACAATGACTATTCTAACATTTTAGAAATATGTCCTACAAAATTAATAAGTTAGAGAGTTGATATGCTTTGTAGACATGTTGAAGCACTGGAGACTTATTGGACCCACCTTCGTGTTTGAGTAAGATCAAAAACTCGCTTATGTGGGCGGACCCAGAAGTGATCCTGTGCCGGTTCAACATGTGTTCACCGACTCACAGACCAACACCCACCATCTATTTTATATATAAGTCATAGTCTACTTTCCAAATATGGACCCCCCCAAATTTAAGTCTTATATCCGCTATAATTGAGTACACAATTGTTAATAGCTGAATTAACGCATTTTATAGGGTGAAACTGTTGAACTGGAATATCCAGGATGGGTGATGGCCATTGCTCTGTGCATCGTGTTGGCCTCGATTCTCCCGATCATCTGCGTCTTTCTACTCAGGCGATTCCAGTTCTTGAAGCTCGACGTGGACATCCACCAGGGAGCGATCAGGAGGATAGACACGACCGTCTCTACTAGGGAAATGATGGCAGATGTCGACGTAAGTTTTTTAAAATTCATTCTTCCTTTTCGACCTAAAGTTCCTTAACGTTACAGATGGACGAGTACGACTCCGAAGGGGACGAGGACGAGGAGGAGGACATGAACCGTTTAGGGCCCAACGCGAAGGGCAAGACCTTTAAAATGGAGGTGATGGACTTTTAGCAGAAGGCCCGGGGTCCTGTGCAGCTGTAAAGAAGAGCCAGTCGGCTCGCACGTCATTTTAACGGCACAAGACATTGTAAAAGACCCCTTTACATAACGAAAAATTAAAACGACTAGCTCCTCCGTCGGGGCGCCTCGGGGAATTCGTAAGGAAAACCTTACCACCCGAATCAAGACAATACTAGTATGGATATTAAGTGGAGATTATTTGCTTTTTTTTAGATGTGTAAAAAACGAGTTATCCACCTCCGGACGGTCCCGGCTTTTCAGGTCGAAAATTACCTGTATATAATAAAAATGATTTAAAAATAAGAGAAAAAAAGCTCTTTCCAAAATTAACGTTATACGAGTTACAGCAAAACAAAAATTAAAAATTAAAATATGAGTGGGTTAAACCGTAGATTTTAGTTTTAGAAGAAAAAAAATTAAGAATGTTAAATCGATTAGGCAAAACCTAAAGGAATCACATAGCATTTAATATATGTTATACGTAAATGTAAAATAAATCACATAGTTAGGAAATATGTTATTTTTGGAAAGAGGCGAATTTTATTTCTAATTATTATGGTATTTTATAAATTATGACATTCATATTTTTCGATACTGTGTTGACCCTTTTTAAATATTTCGTTTTAACCTTTCAAATACTTATTTTTCAAAACATTGTCATTATATTAAAATTAATAAAACTACATTATGTTACTTGTAGCTCAATTCCATCGCCGATTAAAACATTAAGTGAATTAAGACAAAAATGTTCAACAGAAAGGGAGGATTTTCATCGTGCTGTGGCCTGAAACTGTTGGACCGTCCGCAGGCGAAGTAGGTTTAAGGTAAATTGATATTAAACATTATCTGTGAGAGCACATTGTGTCAAAACTAAGTCTAAAAAGGAAATAAATAAACGGTGTACGGAAATATAAAAAGAAGTTACTTAGAATGCATGGAAAGGGCGGTCGCACCTACAAAAATGAACTTGAACCGTAATATATCATTTGAAATAGTCCAATCTAAGAATTTTAGACGCTTTGGTGGTTTTTCAAAATTATCTTATTCTAGTTGGATAAATAAAAGAAGACGAAAGTGTGAGATCCGTGCCTCATGCTTTTCCTTTTTTCGAATATTTTGTCATGAAATTAGCTCTGGAATTAATTTGAAGATAGTAAAACGTCTTCCATTCAATCTAAACTTTTTCCTTTTTACAAAAAAAATTTCAATTATTCTTTCTATATTTTTAATTTTTCTATATTTGTGATATTTATGCGGTCTCAAAATATTTACAATCTTTTAAGCACAATATTCAAAAAATCAGCACGACGCATAAACATAAATTTATCTATTCTTAAATTACAACTATTCAATAAGTTCCTAAATATTTAATAAATTTAATTTGCCATATTCCGAGTTCACATTTAAAATAAAACATAGATTTACTAATACCAAAATATCACGATTTATAATTAAATTCTCCTCTGTCTGAAATCGGGATTCACTTTGAATAATATACCGCCATATGTTATTTTGTTGAAAAATTATTGTGTGATTAAGAAAAAACCCAATAATGATTCAAAATCTAATAAATTTCTTGTTTTACTTTGAACAAAAAAAAAATTAGAAAATGTTCTTTGAGTAAATGCGACTGACCTTATGTTGGAAATTAAAAATTGTGTAAATATCATAAAAGGCATAAATATATAAAAGGATGTTGAAATATAAAAAAATAAGAGAGAAAATTATATATTTTTATTTGACAGAGATTCAAAATCTCTTTAAAATTAAACATTTAGTTACCACAATTGGTTGATAAAGCCTCAATAAAATACTTGAAAAGTGTAAATATTGTTGCAAAATTATTTTCATTATTATTAACGTTTCTTTTAATTAAAAAAACGTTATTTATTGCGAATTCTATTGCGGTTTTTATTGTTTATTTTGTTTTTATTTATTTATTTTTTTTTACTCGCAAGTCAGTATTAGTTAAGCATTTTGTTATCGTTTGTTCCCAGAACATTATGTTAAAAATTATGCAAAAAAACAGATATAATAAGAAGTAATGAGTTGTATATAGAGGACGATAAGTGATAATAAATTATTTAGAAATCAGAAATGTTTTATTTTTATTTATTTACATTTGAACCTCCTCATTGAAGAACATACGCTATGATATATGACTATATATTATTATATTGGTCATAATATTTATGGATTTGGAATTGGATTTAAAAAAGCTTAGATCTACATGTATACACTGGCAGGACACTTGGTTTTCCTCGCTCCCGTGATTATGACGTGCATCCTCATCTCTTCAATCGCCTTAGTAATAAAAAATCTAAATAAGTAAAGAAAGAAGAAGGGCCTAGTATAAAAACAAGGTGACTAACGGCATATTTCTTATTTGTCATAAGGACGGCAAATTTCTTTGTAACGACTTGTAATAATAATAATAATAATAATATAAAACGCCCGATTTGCATTTACATAAACTCCAATCTGTACATGTATTTATATACATGCATATATAGATTTGAGCCTATCACTTTTCGCAGTCTGCCGGCAATTCTGGTGTTTTTAATTTACCATAAATGACTGGCAGGCCTCGAGAATCACCCACGCGGATGTTTGCAGACCGAGGTCAGGCCTCGGTCTTTTCCGTCCCAACCGAGGTCGTGCTCTGGGGTACCAACAGCTAGATCATCCCAGCCCTCAACCTTGCAGTTACTAGATCCATACCCAATCACATTCTCACTCAGTCTTAAATAAATTCTTTTTTATTTACATACCTTCTACTCAATTATGACAGTGGAGTTCTCAATCACTCTTTCCATTTAATATATAATTAAATTATACGTGAGGAAACACTCTTGGGAACAGGGGATGCGATACCATCTCTATATTAGTGTTCATGTTAACTCGCTCCCTGTAAGAGGCCAAGGTATGGCACTTTTCCATCAGATGTGACAACTGAGCCACCTTTCTCTACAAGCCGGACACCAGCGCGGGTTTGACACAAAGGCAGACTTGCGTCAGACGGGTATGGCCGAATCTCAATCGGGTTAACACTTTACTTTCGTTTTAGACTTTGGGGGGGGGCATCGTTCAGTCGTGCGCATAACTCGCAGGAGCTTCTCGGACTAGCTGGCCAATATTAGTCAATGCTTTCTCACAGCATTTTTAGTGCTCGCGGAGAGTCCCCGAGACGGATTGCGGTAGATCAGTCTGAAGGGTGAGAGTCCCAGTTTTGGCTGCACCGTCTGCCCGTTTGTTGCTCTCTTGCCTCTCCTGGTACCAAGACGACTACCACCGTTTTTCCCAGGAACTCCAGCTCGGCAGTCTTAATAAAAAGAGCAGGAGGGTCCATAGATAATATGTCCTGAATTGCCGATACCGCGCGCAGGGGGTCGGTACAAATTCCCTTTGTTATAAACATACAATTTAATTGAAACCTTTTAGAACATCAAAATAGTCAAAAATGCTTAATTTGATTATATTCTTTAATGCAAGCTATGCGTGAATAGAAACCCTATCGCTTTCAACGGATCTGTAGCGTATCGGCGTTTGTTGTAAAATACAAATTACTCGGCAATTACGATACCAATGGTTTTGTCATAGTTGCTATACCAATTAATAACAGTGCTGAACAATCTGATCGGCTCAAGACACGATTTGATGTTTAAAATCGAAATGTAACATTTCTTTTTTATTCTTTTATTACATCTAATACAATATGGGTATAAAATTTTAACGACAATTACATCAATGTCAAAAACATCTTCTCACTAGAGAGTATTTCATTTATTTGGGGACATTTCTTTCTTTATCGAGAAGATATTTCTGCCTTTTTGTATACTTGACAGATTGCTTCATTTTTATTTTGGCCTTTATTTTACTGTTTCATTGTTTACGATATTAAATAATTAATCTGCCATTAAATAATTAAAATTATAATAATGTCTCTCCAGTTGAAGCTCATTATTTCAACGGATGATGGGGACCTTACCTCGGGACAAAAGGCGCTGTCAGGGGTCTCTTCTACTCTTAGGATAACTTAGCATAAAAATGTACTCACTGAAGTCAATGGGTAACAGTTACGGCAAGGGTTTGGGGACAATAATCTGTTAATCAATTAACATCTGCAGTACCGTTTTACATAGAAAAAGATAATTTTACGACCTGGAGAGATCCGTCTGTCGTAAGTTCTCTATTTCTTATTCATATTATCTATGTTTTATTGATTATTGTGTCAACATTGTTATTCCATTACATGTTTTTTAATTAATCAGCTTGTACCAGTTAAATTCACTTTCTAAATCATGGCGGTATTGCTATGCCTTACGGGAAAATGTCGCAATATTTTTACAATTCCGTATATTGTTCAATGAGGCTATGAAACTTTTTTGGGGGAGGAGCGATCGGACACCAAGTAACGAAGACGAAACTCCACAAAAATAGGGCATTTGGCCAAAAAGTGAAACACGTCCTCTTTTACACTCGAGTTGCCTAGTGCAAGTTTCATTGAGGTCGCCCTCTTTCCAAGGTCGTGGGTTCAAATAAATTTGGTCGCATCTCAATTTAAAAAATCCAGCGGAGTTTGGACAATAGGTAGCCGTCTATCGTCGAGTTGGTTGGGTCGAAAATTGCCAAGAAGAGGTCCTTCTCTTTGTAGGAAGTAGTGCCTCGATGCTCGCTCTTTATTTAAACGTCATCCCTATGAGCTGCTCTAGCTTTGTCTAGCAGTTTCTTCCAAAAGTCTGTCCAATCACTTATTTTTCCCGTGAGTGAGAAACCAGATCGCAGTTCTCTAGCCTTAGAATTCCAATGCTTAAGCCATTCACCTCCCTATTCAATCATCTTAAGAGCTGTAATTTCTATTAGATGTGAATCTTGTAGTGCTAACACGCCCATATTTCATGTGCAGCTCCAGTGTGAATATATAGGGGGTTGGTTTTTGTTTCTATGGAAGCATCGGAACTCTATTTTGTGACAAAAATTGTGTTTTAGCTCGAGCTAATGCCATTTATACAAAGTTTCCATCCATTCCAACATTGGCAAACTTTGTTCTCCGAAGAATCGTACCATTTAGTTAGTTCGATTTTTTCTTTGATCGCTATCAGGTGTCTTGTTTCTTTTAGGGCGAAGAAGCCAACTGGGCCAAGTTACAGGGAGGGAGGAACGCGGTGGAAATAGTTAGGCCGTCCGACTCGTATTTTCCACGTTAGTGGTTCTTTAATTAGCAAGGGTTACAATAAGAACCTTAAATGACGCAGTATGGCATATTACGTTAATCGATCATCATAACATCAATCAATTTGTTGTTTTACGGATGTTTACATCGGCACAGCAAATGTTTTGAGGGGAGTTAACAACCTTTCTTGCTCTCTCAACTTTACTTAAGGGCTAGTCCTTGGCGAGGAGGTCATGGGGCCATCTCCGCTTTAGTCGTTTGACGGGATTATAAGGATGGATTATGTTGGACATGAATGGGGCTAATGGGCTAATGAGTATAGTTATCGTGCAACCTAGAAAATTTGGTGGAGAATAATTTTTTTACAATGAGTATTTTGAGGTCGTGGTGTAGGTTGATGTTTAAGACTTAGTACGGAGAGTTGACTGTGCATTAGAGGACTTTGGATTGGAAAGACTGAATTTATTGGAAATTGGTAGGTTTAACGGTGCCCCATAGTTGTCCAAATCGCTTTCAGTTTTGCAGACTGTTAGTATGTTCTTTGACGACATGTTAGAGTTGCGTCCAAGTAGTTTTAAAGTAGTCCGAAGCTTCTGTTTAATTCATACCTTTTTATTTGTGTGTCAGTTTAACTTGATTCGAGGTAGTACTCAAGGTCTACGCAGGATTGTTGACCAATATATTAGGGCTTTTGCTTCGCAGAGTAAATGTAACGTGGGTGCATTTGTTTTCATGTTCATGTATGAAACAAAGGTGGCTCCATTCCGCAATTCATTGGACGTGTGACTGAGCTCCTTCGAAGCAATTGCAGCATCATAATCAAAGGAAAGCAAGGTTGTGTCGTCGGGAAATGAATTCTAGTAAGTGGAGGTTTATGTTTCCCAAGCAGTGCAGCTTTCTGGCTAATTAGATTTTCGTAGTTCTTTATTCCGTACAATCGACTCCATCCTTATACTAACAACTACTAGGTCAATGATTTCATTGCTTCAATTTCATTCCCTGGGTTTTCTTTGTATGCCAGGTTATCTCTCCATTGAGTGGTTGCTTTGCATTCCAAGCTTATATTGGTGGCTCTTTCTTCCTCCTCATTGCATAATCTACAGATGGGCTCGTTATTAAATATGCCCATGTTGCATAGGTGTTTTCTCAGATGCCACTTCTCCTTTTGTCTTTTTTGAATCCATTCTGTGATGGAGGATTCTGTGTTGCTTTTATTATCCCAAAAATAGGTTCAGGGCCTATGTAGGTTTTGCAGATCCTCCTCTGGCCAGTATGCCTGACTGCTCCGAACTGCAGCATCACTTCGCGGACCTCAAGAGTAATCTCACAATTTTTTTACAGGTAACCTGATTTTAAGTCTGTTCTCATATTTGTTCAGGTGTGTAACGAAATGTTTTCGCTACCTTTTATAAATATTTGTGGCGGAATGTTTTCAAGCTTCAATTGGAGTGAATGACACCATATAAACTAGGACTGAAATTTGTAAAACTAAGATATAGAAATACGGCATTGTTATCGGTCCATTTCAAATCGGCGCTTAGTTAATGGAAAATGTCGCACAGTTATAAAACCTTCAACTTCTGGAGAGAGAGGGAGAAAGAGCGTGAGAAAACGGAAAAGTCTGAAGCGTTGGGGGTTGGAGGTAGGGCCTGCGCGTTTTCCATTACCCCACCATCCCACAACCCCCGGAGGATGAGGAAATCCTAGGAACGCCACACACGCCCGGATTTCCTCCCCGGAGTCGTTGCCTGCGTTTCAATCGGGGATAAATAAATAAATTTGTTGTCTACGTGCTATAATAAAATCGTTAGAAATTATAGGCCGGTGAAAAATGGAAAAGCCGATCAAGGAAGAACCAGATTTTCACAGAAAAAATTCTAAATGTAAGTCCTCTTATGTCAAAATTAATTTTGTCTTAATAGCGAAGAAACATAAATTCTTTTAAACGACTTATTTAATATATTAACTTTTTTCTCATATTCCAGGAGGTTTCTAGTCCTGAGATGAAAATTTATTATTTTAAGATAATAACTTTTTTAACTATGTTTCAGCGGTGTGAAACAAGAAACAATTGTAGCAGCCCTTCTATTTTATAGTATTTTTTAAGTTGGTGAAGGCATCTGTAGGGGTGGCTTGGATGGAATTATAATTGGACAATTTTGGACAGAATTTTAGTGTTAAACCGTGGTATAAATGATCCAATGTTTAGGTCGACTGACAAAGATTAAATAGCGAAACTTTAAACGTAACTAATTTTTAAAAGAGACAAAAAATTAAAATAAATTTATTTGACAACAACGTTGTATTGCAATTATCAAAGTACAAACATAAGAAATATATGACATAATAATGAAATATTTTCATTTTGTTTTTAAAAAAATGTTGCAGGGTAATTCAAAGCATTTTTAAATTTTGGAGGTAAAGGTGAAATAATCTTCCTTACCAAATAAAAATGATAATAAAATAATCAAAAATAACATTATTCCTTTTAAGTTCATTCATTTTTATAGTTTTAGGGTCGGTAAACCACATTGGTCATCAGCCAGTTCCTCTACTTTGCTCTTTTCCACTTTCAGGCCTTTTTTTAAACCTGCTAATTTATATTATTGATTCACCAGCCAAGTTACGATGTTTTATAATATAACTGACTCTCTCTTTTCTTTATCCCATTACTTCCATCCCGTTACCTCAGGGCCTTGTCAATTCTGGAGAAAATAACACAAATACACAGAAACAAGATATAAACATGATAGTCTGGCTCTCATTCTAACTACCCCATATTACTCGATATTCCTCGGCATAATTGGGAATATGCCCCTCCATTCATGCTAATAAATTACATTTACACATTCATTCACACTACCACCAACTCGATAATCCTCGGGGTAATTAGGGATAAGCCACTCCATTCATGATAATAAATTACATTCATACATGCATTATCACTATCCAAGAGAACTCGATATTATTTGAAGTAATTGGGGATGAACCCCATGCATTCACGCTAATTACATTTATACACCTGACTTCGTTCACAATTACCCCAGAGTTCTCGATAATCCTTAGAATAATTGAAGATATGCCACTACATTCACGCTCATAAATTCATTCACACGCCAACTTTGTTCACGCTACGCCAGAGTACTAGATATTCATCGGGGTAATTGGGGACATGCCTTAAATCATTCATTCATTCACTATCTCAGAGTAATATAATTAATTATTTATTCAAAAATTATAATTTAAACGTAAAAACAAAATTTCGTTAAGTTAAAAAAAAGTTTTTTATATTTAAAAATTAATTCATTTCAATAAAACGGTTTGTCATCTACGAAACTTATAGTCATAACTTAAATATCACATATTATCAAATAAAACATAAATATTTACGCCTCGGAAATAAATTTAATCGATATTTCGCTTTTCGTAAGTTCCCACGAATTTACTTTAAAAAATCATTTTCATAATTTTAAATTTCGTAATTAAAATTTAATAGTTAAACGAGTAAATATTATGTTTTCATATTTAACATTTTAAAAACTTCATTGGGTTAAAATTACAACTATTTATTTTTATGTGTATTACAAAGCTGGCAGCCAGGTTTAATCAATATTTCATATTGTTTAACATCTAATTAAATCGAATCAAAGAGGTTATAAAATATTCGTTTATTTCGATGGGTTTTCAATAATTTAATAATTTTAGCAAAATGTCAAAGGTTCCACGAGTTTATTAGAAAGTAGTAAAATGGTTATTACATTTCAAATATAATCCATATACTGCAGATGGGTAAATTTATTGAATATATAAATTCGAGACATAACTTCTGGCTTTCACCGTTTTCAGTTAGTTTTCATTTTGTTGAGAGGCTTTGAAATCGAGCTTTTTGTTTTTGGCGTTCTGTGTATTCTGATGTTTGTCGGAGGGCGGCTCTTTGGAGATGGAGTTGGGATTTGGCTGGGTGGGGGCGCCTGCCGTTGACAGCCTCTGTTCCTGACATACAAGATATGATTAAACCCCGGCCGAATTCTCTCTCGAAAAGCACCCAAACCCGTCAGTAACGCTTCCTTTCTCGCTTTGACGGTAAAAGTCGTGGTTGAGTTCAGGAAGGACGGCGACCCAGTACAGCGGAGATATAGCGGTGTGAATAAGACAACGGGACCAACAATGTGGCATATATGATTTTCCTTCACTGGTTACATCACCGACCAGAGGAGAATGTTCTTGACGAAATGCCGACGTTCGAGTATCCAGTCGATATGGATTTTCCGACTTATAAAAAGGTTTTAATCAGAAATCACGACTCAACTTGAAAATTAACTCAATATGCTTAACTAGTTGAAATGGACTGTCTACACTAGCTAATCATGCCAGATGAGTCAAAATTTTTACAACCTTCCTTGAACTAAACCACCATTTTGTCGTGAGATTTCTTCTCGACTCTGCGGGGTAATGAACTCATAGCCGTTCCCCGGCATTATGGGGTACCTATTCTCACTGGTTTTGCCAGTTAGACTAATATTTCCCTATTCTCAGTGTTCGGCAATATTGTTACCCCTCACTGAAGATGAGGAGAGATTGAAATACGTCTGACCACAACAGCGAGGAGAGGCTGACCAAAATGATAGGAATCGATCGAACTAAAGTATCACCCTGTGGAACAAGAGGAAATCTGACGAAATATGATGAATCTTTAGCATGATCGTTTCCCGTTATTATGGCCCACATTTTCTAATGGTTCTGTCTATCTTTGTTGCTGTGCGCTGTTAACCACAAACTCCCCACTGGATATTCCGAAAGGGTCTCAAACTGCCCACCAAATTATGGTATTCTTCCTTGAGGTATGACGGGATAGTCGACCATACTTAACCACCAATCTTCAATACTTCCCATTACACATGCCAAACTCGCCTAGAGATCGGAAAAGGTTCACCATTTAGTCACATCTTTCGTGTTTGGTCACAGATTCAAATTCTAATTGAAGCTAGAACATGCCTAATGGTTTTTTAAAGCTTTTTAAGGACTTTACACTTTACCTGGAGAACTTTGAACGTAGCCCTAGAGTACAGAGTTAAGCAATCCTTCGCCTACACAACTGTACATACCTTACAGTTCATTGTTTAACTGTTGTGTTACTTGCTAGATTTGTAAGATTATAAAATCGGTTCTCGTGATTTAGATAAAAGTCAAGTCCTATTATTGAAATTTACCAACTGGGAGTGGGAGAAATAAAGGCTTTACATTTAAATAAATAAAGCCTTTACATTATAAACATTTGGCCGATGCAAAAGAATTTTGTTTTAATTATAAACTGTTTTGATCTTGTATTTAGTAGGTGACTTTGACAAAGAACCAAGGTTTAACCAAGTTATTAGCTTTATTACCAAAAACTCATGCAAATGACATACAATATTTGCGCTAGTGAAATCTGATTTTTTGGTTATAACTTAATATGCATAACGTGTCGCGCAGTTATTTACGGGCCGGCTAATTTCACCGCTGAGTTTTTAATTTCGCTTTTTCCCATAACGACGCCTAATCGACGATTTGGGAGATACGTGACCGTGGCGAATCCAATGAGTAACGACGATGCCCCCGGACATCATCCCTCAAAATGGCATGGGTCAACGGTTTAAAATGACGCGAATCCCAGGGCTTTTTTTTTTAATCTGTGACGCAAATAATATCTGACAATGTCTAAAATGGGAAGTTCATTTTATGAAGATCGGAAGGAATGGTATACCAAAATGGGCGTCTCGTTCCTTGTCTGATCTGCATTCTATCTTCTAATAACTCCTGATTTTTTCGCTTCTTTTACAATTATCGATTTGCCGAGTATTTATGGATTTTCGCCGCATCTGTGCCTCGGGGACGGCTGTAGAAGCGGGGGTTGGTCGCAGGTGTCGCCCGACACTCGTGCACCACCTGCGTCCAACCCGCGCCAATTACCGCCGAAACAAAACGACTCCCCCGCCCCTTTAAAACCTGAGCTTAATTCTTCGATCACGGCCTTATTTATTGTCGTAAGCGTAAAATTTTTTAAAGCTCTACTTATTTAACTTAAACTATAAAGAAAGTTTATTATAAAAACTGCGTATAGTCTCACGCGATTATTTTATGATGTACAGTTCCAGACGACATACCGGAAGGAGAGGTTCCCGCTCTATCCCCAACGGAAGACCCGGAGGGTTCGGCCAAATTTCGCAGGATACTGCAAACATTCGTTAACCATGCGAGGGACCACTCCACCGACAGGGCGGAGAACGTCGTCAAGCTCATCACCAACCTCGTCGTAAGATTCCGTCCGTCCGTCTATTAGGTTAGTTTAAGTTTTACAGATTTTTTTATAGGTTGGAACGGTTAACTTCGAAGAATTCGAGAAATCTTTGTACGAATTGACGAAAACCAGCCCGCGCCACTACGTCACGACCTACATGAAAGCGTACACGCCTATATTTCAAAAGGAGATGATCCAACAGGCGCGAAACTCGAAAACGGTATGTCTGCACCGGCCTGGTTACCTCCTAAACTGTGATACTTCTATCGTTTTGCAGAACCTGATAGATTATGTGACGAGCCAGCTCCTAGAAGACGAAGGGCAGGAGATTCAAGCTAAAAGGAGACGGACCGACAGAGGCTACGACGACGAGCTACCTGTGCCCAATTCGAGACCTCTTCTCGTCCCCGTGCACCCGCTCGCTTCCAGCAACCCCAGCCAAGCGAACAAAAGTAACGAAGAGCAGTGGAGGAACATCGATGTGGTAAAAATACAAACGAAAACGATAATTTTAACATGTGACTGTTTCTTTCCCTTCTTTACCGTAGATGCTTAACTGCATCCTGAGCATGGTAGAAAAAACGATAGCAGCAATAGGAATACTACAAGGGCGGACCGCCGAGGACCTGATGGCCCAAACGATCCGACTAACAGAAGACAGAGTTCAACAAGTTAAAAAGCGAGCGGGTAAGGAGATGATAACATTATTTATTAAACAAATACCTTTCATTCAACCTGTTTCAACCGTATTTTCTGAATTTCAATCATCTTTTACATAATTATACAATTTGTCATTATGTTTGGTATAACGTTACGCGTAGATTAATCATGTAAGATAAAGTTTAGACCAACTTGTATTTAATGCCCACTGGATGTTCAGACAATGTATGTGTGTGTGGAGATTTAATGACCGACCAACAGCTGAGCCATCGCCGGCCCTATGCGTGTTGTCTCCTTTTTTCATTTGAGCGTCTAGATCTGCTTACTGACTCTCTTCTTTAATATGTATACTACGTCAATATCCTAAGAGGTCATAATCGTGAATAATCTTTTTCTTGGATAACTTCAAAATCTTACATTTATTTTCGTTAGTTTGAAATTATTACACTAATGCGTACACTAATGCCAAAAACCTCTTAATCCATTTTGTAAGAGAATGCGATCATTCATCGATTCGATAGGGCGATAAATGTTTAAATCGTCTGCTAACAGTGAAAATGAAGAATTAATGAGAGCAGAGGCGATGTTTAAAAAATAAAAGAAATAAAATCAGACCAGAATGAGAGCCCTGAGGCACTCCAGATCTTATGTGGACAGGTTCCGGTAAGCCTCCAAATTTTACAACAAAAGACCTCATAGACAAAAAGAAGACCACCCATCCCAAGAAGAGTTGGCCCACACCTAGTTTTTTTAGCACATTTTTAATAGGGATATTTGTAAATAAATTAGAAACATCAAATGTCACTAAACGACAGTTGTGCCATGGTACGTTGGTATATTTATGTCAATTGTTTTGTCAACTCTAAAGAATGTAGGTTTGAAATTGGTTTGGGTTTTAATTAATTTACGTTTTGTTATCGCGAGTTTGTGGCATGGAGAATTACGAAAGGGCACTGGTCTTATAGGTTAGTTTTCTTTGTAGTTTTTGACAATATCGTTAATTTAAGGTCATTCAGGAATAGAAAGTCAGTAATTTGTTATAGTAGTTTGAAATCTAGTTTTTAATTTTAAGGTGGGGTTTTTTTAATTTCTTTACACTTGTTATCGTTTAGGAATTCTTCAAATTTAGAAACATATTTTTGGTATTCAATGTTATATATTCAAAAAAGTTGTTACTTTTAAAGTGTTTATCATTAGACCTAATTGTACGTGGGATATTTAATTTTTGGCGTTTAGATGTATCAAGTTTATATGTATATGCCTACTATCTAATTATTTGGTTGTGTTGTAATTCACGTTTTTCGCATATTTAAAATTGAGCGGCGTTGGCGACTCTTATAATTCCTGCCGAGAGAGTGTTTGTAATTCCTTCAAACTAATGATGAGCGTTTAATGCTTGAAATCCGGATATTTGAAAACAACATAGTAGAACCATCATTTAAAAAAAAGCAAACATACAAATCTGACCACATTCACTCCCCCCGAGTAATCGATATTTCTCGGGGCGGGGTTAAAAACACCATCCTTTCGCGTTAATAAATTACATTCATTCCAGTAAATTAACTTATAAATGACACTAACACACATAAACACAACACAAACACCATATACATTTAAAAATCTTTATAGCTCTGATGTACCAGAACGTTATCTGTGTGCCGCGGGCTCCAAGACTACGCACGGGTCTGACGATATGACAACATATCTCCTACATATTATTAAATTCTACAATTATTAAAAAGGTGCTCGACCCTTTTATCTTGGGGTCCTCTTATCCTGACATTTTGGACCGCACAGAGCGAATCGGTTCATAACAAAAATAAGTTGTGGTTTATAGTTTTCATCATGCATGAACATGACATTTATTATTTTGTTGTTATATTGATATGTAGAGTTATTATCATTATTGTATGATGTATATCATACTACGGCAACATTTTTTCGAAAAATGTATGTATGTAAATCATCTCTATTATTTTTAAAATGTAACTATTTAAGTAAATTCAGTGTTGCAACTTGATCAATTGAATATATAATGTGTGGTGTTTAGTGACCGTTAATTAATGATTATTTGGAGAACGTGAGATGAAGTCTGGTGTGACGTAGGTTTAGAAAAACATTTTCTTTATCGTGCGAGCGTTTCGATCTTTATTGCTACACAGAAAACAAAGACTGTGCCCTGAAGATGTTCTCAATAAAGATCGAAATGTTGGCACGATAAAGAAAATGTTTTCTAAATCTACGTCACGCCAGACCGCATCTCACGATCTCCAAATAATCATTAATATATAATGTATAATGTAATAATTTAACAAATGGGTAATTTGTCTGTAGAGGAGGCCGTCGCAGAGGTCAACAGGAAAGCTCTTCTGGAGCTGCAAAGGGCAGTTTCTGCAGCAGAAACAAGGGCGAGCCAACTGGCGGCGAGCGACCTCCCGAGAAGAAATTCTGAGAAAGCGTGCAACTCGGGCCCGCACAACGTAAGCATCCTGGAAAGGAAGCAGGCTGTAGAGAAACAAATAATTTTCAGCCTTCTGTTCATATTTCTTTTAATACTCCGATTGAAAAGAAGGTGAACGCTATGTCAAGCTACTTACTACTAAAAGCTTCAAAATTTTATGAACTTTCCCATAGTCTGTTCGAAACCTCGATTATTTTAATTTTTTGATGGGCAATTTCTGTTGAAAGTGGAACAAATGTAATGCAAGGAAGATACGGTTTAAAGAAGGTGAATTCATGATGTTTGTGCAGTTATTTTGTAACAAGATTGGCAATTTTTAGAACAAAAAGAGAGTACTATGAAAAGAAATTCAGTGCTAAATTTCAAAATGGGGTCAAAAGTTGGGAAAGGTTACGTAAAAGTGGAGAAAATTCAGGTTTTATGTAAAGAAACGTGTTTTTCTTAAATAAACACTAAAAAAACACAACTTTTGAAGGGATTGATAAAAAACCATGAGGTTTGCGGCATTCTACTCCACGTTAGGTGTACTCTCACTGAATTTTTTAACACGTCGAGCTGTCCCGTATAAATACACTGTCGTATATAGTCGGATTTAACACTCGACTCAATTTATTTAGTTTAAAACTAAATCCATTTTATTTCTACATTAGTTAAAGGTAATTAGGAGCTAGCGTAGTCAAAATAAATAGTAAATAATGCTTTGTTTACTTTCTTTATTTACTTTTGTACTGGTTAATGACATTTGCACAAAAAGTAGCATTATGCCCTTTTATCCTACTACTCGCTTTCAATTAATCTTTTTCCTTCCATGATTTCATTTTATATTATTCTTATTCTTAATTAATTTATATTTATGAAAGGTATTAGTTGAGATAAAAAAAGTCAGCGTCACGAGCGGGATTCGAACCCACGACCTTCGGCTAAATACGCCGCTACTCTACCACTTGAGCTATCGTGACTTCGATCCGCTCGGACACTAACTTCCCATCTCAACCTCACCTCTCAAATTTCTCCTCCTTTTTGCCATTTTTCAAATGTCGTGTAATGTATTTGATTCTCGGTGACAAATGAAATGGACACGGAGAGCTTTCGTGAAGATATACTTCAGTTTAATTATTAAATCCATTATAGTTCGTGGTCCGATTGACCAATTAACATTTTTCAATTAGTTCATATTTATGAAAGGTTGAGAAAAAAAAGAAGAGAAAGGTTGAGATAAAAAAGTTAGTGTCCGAGCGGATCGGTCACGATAGCTCAAGTTGTAGAGTAGCGGCGTATTTAACCGAAGGTCGTGGGTTAGAATCCCGCTCGTGGCGCTGACTTTTTTATCTCAACCAATACCTTTCATAAATATTAATTAATTGAAAAAAGTTAATTGGTCAATCGGACCACGAACTGTAATGGACTTATTCTTAACCCTTTTTCAAGGGCTGCAGTAAGCGTTTGAGTGATTGTGACACTGTCAGGGTCATAAAATCATTAGAGGATGCAGCCAGAGCGAAGTTCCCAGAAGAGTGAGTGTAAATCTCTCTGAAATTCGAAGAGTTATTCGGCGCTTCAGAGAAACAGGGCTTCTCACTAGAAGGCCAGGACAGGGTCGACGATAGAGACGATAGATTCATCCGTCGTTAGGCTCTACGAAACCGCATCATTAGGGGAAATTATATAAGAAATCTGATAAGACAAGTATGAAATGTTTCGATTTCCTCTAGGAATTTAAGAAGAAGGCTCAATGAAAATAACCTCGGCCCGGCAGTCGGCTCGTAGACCTCTTCTTACCACAGCTCAGAAAATGGCGAAGCTTCAATTTGCACGGGTGGGAGTTGTGGGCGAGTTCTGTTTACAAATGAGGTGGGAGTTGGCCTCTAATCTTCAGATGGGCATATTTTGGGCATATGGAGACGATCAGGAGAAAAGTATGTCCCATGCTGTATGGTTCCTGAGGTAGCATTCCATGGTAGGTCATTGATGTTCTGCAATGGCGTTTCCTTGGATGCCCTTACCCAATTAGTTGTGCGAGGAAGATAGAGAATAAGTATAGAAGAAGAATAAGGTTTTTTAGAACTAAGTTATAAACATTTTCTTTTTAAATGAATTAGTTTAAAACCAACCCAAATACCTTAAAATTTAAGGGTGGTGTGTTAATTTTGACCATCAGTGTATTTAAAAAAATTCCCTTCGTGTTCGTCAACTTCGGTTAATATGATAAAATATGCCAAATTTTAATCGCATCCGAGGAGAAGTTCAGAGAGTTTTTGGATCGACGATAGACGACCCATACTAGGATATAAAGTACACAACCCTTCAAAATGTTTGTTTAAAACTGAGGTTTTAAATTATTTTAGAACGTAACAGCTCTAACAACCGATTTTAACATGAATTCATTACTTTCCGCAGAGTTGCTGGAACTGCGGACGGAAAGCCGAGGAGACCTGTTCCGGCTGCAATTTGGCCAAATACTGCAGCTCTTTTTGCCAGCATAAGGACTGGGAATCTCACCACACGACTTGCAGAAATAAGTTTAAATAAAATGACAGTTAACAAGTTTAACTTTAAACATAATTGTCAAGTGAAAAAAGGACTTGATTTCTATATGTTTACGTATAAAACATTCCACCTGCTGTAGAGTATAAGGATAATATTGAACAGAGTCAAAAAGAAATGTATTCGTAATGATGTTTCTTATTGTGTTTCATGGTACCAAATAAATATAGAACAATTATCTTCTCAATATACAACTCAATGAAAAAAGTAAATATTATACTTTCTATATTTTTTCAATGTATGATGTATATATCTATCTATTTCAATTCGATTTAAACGTACGATTATAGAGTTAATAGTCTGTCTTAATACATTACCAAAAATTTAAGTTTTTTATACAATTTCTTATTTTTGTTTATAATTTTGCTATTTAAATTTTGTTATTGTAATTTGTACTGTCGTATTATAAACTTTCCTTTTTATTGCTTTTGTGGTTTTCCTTTTTATAAGGTTAGGCTAAACCTTCAAGATACATAGGTGGTGAAGGTTTGCGTTTGACGCCTCGGTTTGAAAACCAATCACAAAAATAAAAATCCTCGATAATTTTCAACATACATATTATATATCACAATGAGAATTATTAATGACAATAAATTTTAAATTTAAAATCGTAAACTTTGACCGAACGTCCTCACCGAGAAAATATATATTTTTATAAACGTATATTTTTCAATAATATAAATGAATTCTATTGGTACAGTTATTGAGTGCTTGGAGAAATCAGGAAATTATACAATTTTTCCAAGTTAAGGGTATGACAGAAATTTGAATTATATTCTTGATGTTCACTTTCATAATTTTGGGAACTTTGGGTTTCCAATAAATAAATTACATGCATAAATAATACCAAGGAATATATTTTCTAAAGGGAAAATCAATACTCTATGTATAGACCGTTTTTTGGTGGTTTGATATTAAGGAAAGAAACTAGGAAAAGAACCTTTCTTCTTGAGATTTTCAATTGTTTTCATTAAGAGCAATGTTGGTAAACATTGAAGATTTGGATTATGAAATTATGTAAATCACGAGTATAATATTTTTTGGCCCATGATAGCTTTTTCAACATAAATTATTTCATTTCATGGTTTTAATTGGTCTGCGATTAAGATTACACGTATGGGTCAGTCTGTTCTCGTTAGTCGTTTGCTGGCGGACTCAGAGAAGTCAAAATTTATTGATATTATTCGCCCTAAATATGATGTCTAAATAAACATCAACGATTCTTGTTAAAAAATAGTCCTTCAAAACAGATTTTTCCTAGTTTTTGCCTTGTTGTTGCCCCTAAGTTCCAACGGGAAGTTAGAATATTTAAATTAATCGTTATGTCATTTCTCACCACTGTGTCATCAAACTTCAACCACCACAGTAATTGTAGTGTTGTACATCAGTAGCTCATGATTATAACGGTTAGTCTCTTAAGAATGCCTGCTCAAAGGCTCAAAACTTCAGAAGGACTTGCCTGAAATTCTGTCGACTTTAGACCCGACCGTGTTGTAGATTGTTCCGACATAAAATTGATGTATGGGCAGATCCTCGAGGATCCTACTGATAAGCATCTGCAACGTACTTTTACCGCTCCAACCCCTTGTAAGCTTGATGGACTACGTGCTAAACACTGTTACAAATGATTTAACTCCTTCTGGATATTTAACGCAACGAACGTCCGTCAACTTGTATTCATTAAACCCCTAAATGGTCCTTGTCACTTCGGTCGAAGCAGGCTTAATCTTGCATGAGGTACGCTTCCTGCATTTGTCTGATGATCCGCTATATACTTACTAAGAGCGTACATAGATCTAATACACTTGACGTTAAGCATGTCGAATATTGAAAACAATCTAACCTAAAAACAATCCGGTTGCTAATTTGTGAATTACGATGAGATATTTCCACGAATGGAGATAATTTGTTTTAGTACCTGGGTAAGTGGGGATTTCCATTCACGACAATAAATTACATTCATACACCAGACTTAGTTCGACCTACCCCAAAGTACTTAATATTCCTCGGAGTAATTGGGGTCAGTCTTGTCACTCATACAAATAAATACATTCGTTCCAATAAGTAACACGTATCTCATACACGCACCACACACGAAGGTACCAAGATCTATACACAATTAAAAATATTAATTGCCCTGAGATACCGGATCAGCGAACTGTGCATGCTGCTGTGCCTCAAGGCCGCTCATAGGTCATTCGGCATGTCGTTCTTTGCAGACTTACTTCTTTTCAGCCTATTATTTTATTCCCTACTATAAAGTCTCCACATCAACGTGGTTTCACCACCATTGTCCGCGTGTAATCTTGGTATGATGAATGAGTATCCTGACCTTAATGCAAATTGAAACTCTTTGACCTATTATTGCATTATTGCTATACGAAATCAGGGTTGTGGTCAACAAAAGCGAAACTATTTGTTCAGGACCTGCTTTCCGCAATATATTTTATCGTCCTTCGGGCAAGAACGTGTTTAACCGTTAAATACTCTTAACATACAGACCATTGTTGTGAAATAAGCACGTTCTTTAACAATTTTGAGTTGATCCATCTTCTCACACACAAAATAATACGTGCATTTATAAGCTACTGGAAGAGGGAGGTCTTGTGAAAAAAATCGAAATGAAAACAAATAACATGTTTATTTGCCATTGAAGACGTTCTGCCGAGTACGAAATAAAACCACCAGTTCGGTCTATTGATTACAACCATTATTATTTAGTCATTATTTTTAACCAATTCTATTAATAAAATATTTACTATGGGGAATGAAGGTCTTCCATTATATGTTACATGCAAACGACGAATTTGTTAGTTCCAAATTGACTAAATAATGGCAAAAATGGCAATTATTATTTATATTTTGCCTAACTGGCCAAGTCCCGAATCGTCTGCTGTGCCCGAGCGATGTCTCTGTTTATAGATCGACCCAGTTCCCCGCCTCAGTCGAGAGGAAAAGGGTCGGACATGCGCGAATCTAAAATTGGTCGCTACCGGTGGTGAAATTTCTTTCCCCGTTCTCATCTTCCCTCGACCGCTTCCGACCGTCTCTTCCGTTTTTTAAAAAGAGAACTGCACGTTGAACTATGACGTCTCGACGGGTGTCGGAGGACGTCAAGCTGGACTTCAAGGATATCCTCATCCTGCCCTGCAGGTCAGAGCTCAATTCGAGATCCGAAGTGAGTATCCAGGCGACGATTTCAGATTAATTTGACCTTTGTTCGATCTAGGATAAAGAGAAGTGAAGGCATTCCCACGTTCACGTCATGTAACCAGATATTCATGAATATCAAATTTCCAATAGTCCTTCCAATGGAAATCACATTTTCCTTTAACATTTATATTTACTTTTAAAAGTTTAAAAGGGCAATTTTCAAGAGCACAGACAAGTATTGGACAAAAATTTCTCTTTTAACTTGTGGATGTTAATAATCGAATGACAACAAAGTTCGAACCTTAAGTGACTTTTTTAATTGGTTACATAAATTATTGAAAATTGAACTGACCATTGAAAAAAGATCTCAAAGCTCAAAAATTAACACGTCAAATCAAGGGTTCTTCCTAAAAAAAATTTCTCGAAGAATGGAAATCTCATAAAAAGGTATGACTCAATCTCCGTAGTAGGTAAATCGTATTATAAAAACATTGAAAATTCCAAAACAATTTTTTTAATAATAATTTTTTAATATATTTAATATATATTATTTAATTTTTAATATTTTTTTTGGTTGCCCATGATACGGCCAATGCAAAGAAGATCGATAAAAATTTGACCAGAAACTTTGATAAAGCGATGCCACTAGTGAGCTATCACATCTCAGCCATATGAACAATTATTTTCAAATTTTTAATCTAAAGACCACCCCCAAAATTATAGCAAAACAAAATAATATACAGAAATGATTATGACATTCTCTATAGTAGGCCATTATCAACAACAACAACAACAACATAAACCATGGGCGGGGTCTATACAGTCAAGAGCACGACCCGAAGGTGCCCCTCAGAAACTGAGCAATCGTCTTTACCCGATTGAGAATAGGTCATACGCGGTTGACCCACAGGCACCTGCTCCAGAGCCAAAGCCCGCGCATGTGCGCCTTATGCAGACAAATGTTGCTCGATGTGTCCCACATAACAGAAACTTGTCATACCTTAGTTCCTTACGGAGACGCGCAAGCAAGCATGCCGCCAAATTTAAGAATGTTTCTCGGGAACGGTAGCGAGTTCTTGGGTCCCTGTTCCGCGTTTGTAGGACGTGGTTTTTTTATTGTATGTAGATATGTTTTATGCGTGTGTGTTTTTTTTTAGAACGTTCATATCGGTGTGACTGTTCAAAAGTGGTGGCGAAATGTAGCGTCCTCCAACAGTATAATAAGTAACAGTAAAATAATCCATTATAAGGATCGATTACGAAATACTTATAAACGTTCCCCATCGACCATAATTTAGATTACATTGTTAACACTGTGTGTAGGTCAATGGATGAATATCGAGAACCCAAACGATTAACCAGAATGAGTGCAAGCATGAAGTTGGAAGTTAAAAGTATGAATTGGTGTGACTGTATTATGGCATTTAGTTTTGGGATATATTCTAGTTTGCTTACGTTGGGAACTGAAATGACCTAGCTGTCGAAAGCCCCCGTTGTAGCCTAACTCCGTTGGTTATGAAACGACGTTCTCTGAGATACCACGACCCAGCCACATAACGATGTAGGTGTACTCCCTTGTGGCATAGACCTTAGAGTCAGCACATCGAGGAGTGACACGCTTCGGGGTGTAAGCCCAACACGAATCACTTATCAACAGGCCTGAACACCTTACACATTTATAATACAAGTTTTTGGAATATGTCCCACCAACGCAAATTTTAAACAAAAGTACATTCACTTATAAAACATCATGTACAATCTATGTTAAATTTTCAAACAAGATCATACTCATATATTTATTTTATCAGAGTGCAAGAGAGTTCCTACTAAGTATCGCTAACTCACTTTAAACTTCTAAATTTTTAAAATTTTATATTTTTGCAATTAAATCAAACAAATGTCCAAAACAAATAATAAATGTACTCGTTTCCAGTAATGGTTTTTTTTAATTGCTCACTGAGGAGGTGGGTACGAAAAAAAGAAGTATTTTATAACACACAAGGGATGCTCTCACATTTAACAAATAAGGGATAACAAAGAATGGGATAAAAATATTAAATGTGACTCAAAAAAAGCTTGTGGCTGGAGCGCTTCTTCCAGATACAACTTCATGTCCTTTTTAATGCAAACCCTGCAACCGACTAAAACGTCTAACGTACATGAACATACCAAATTGTACCATACAAACATACCAAAATAACATGGCAAAATGTCATTCCTATGATCATAACGAATACGGCAAAAAAGATTTGATCAAAATCGGATCAATAGATTTTGAGATCACCTCTTAAATACAAACTTTCTCAGTTTATAATATCAAAATAGATTTCGTCCAAATCCCGACTTCACAGACATACCACAAAAATGTACAACAGATACATTTCACAAAACCAAAGTCCACAACAGCTAAAGCACAAACATAATCAATAAACTAGATAACAAAGGACGCTCGCAAAAGTACAAAATGACATCATAAAAACAGACATTACATTAACTAAATTTACATAAATACTGAAAGGCACGTGAAAACATTTAATCTGTTTAAATTAAACGGAAACCCTGAAATTAAGAAAACAAACACAATGAGAAACCTCCTGAGACAAAACATCGACCAGACTGACCCCCTAGATAAAAATAGTATAAACACAACTTATGAATGCAGAGAAAAATATATCGGAGAGTCAAGACAAAAAAGACAACTAAAGATAAAATCAAACTGCGCTTACTCATCTGATACAAAACCGACGGGTACCCTAACCTAAAAACCCGCTAGTTGGAAATTTCTGTAAACATACAAAAAAGAAGAATGATAGGCATAATTTAAAATAATGACGAAAACCAATTGATACATGCAAACACAAAACATTCTTTTGTATAACTTGCAGTACATTACAACTTCTATTCGGTAACTTATAACAATGCACTAAAATACAAAATAAATATAAAAAACAAGATTGACGAAAATACCCATTGGCAGTACTCCAATAAAACTAAAATGATGTCTGCTGAATTAATGCTTGTCAATATCTCTTTATTTGTCGAGATGCTGGTTTTATAATGTGCTGATTTACGGTGGTTGGGAGAGTACTGTGAAATTTTCTATTACGGGAGCCATTACATCTTGGACGTGTTGATAATGGAAGTCTGTATGTGCAGTATCGTTTCGTGGCGATACTGCATGCAGTATCGTAATGGCGCATCAAGTAAGATTAATCAAACAGTTTGAATATCGTTGGAACGTGTGGCTGTACCCTACACTTCCAGTCCGTAAGACCGTATCAGCCGTGCAAGTGAAGAAGATTATTTATTTAAACTGAGAGAGTGAAGGTAATATGGGTGGATTTGTCTGTATTAAATCTTATTCAAAGTTCAAACCTCTAGTAGTGAGAGGTGTTGTGGAAGGTTTCGAGTGGAAATGACGGAATCGGAGTTACCAGAGAGGGTCAATGTATCGTCTGCAAATGTCAGTATGAGGGTTTGAAGAGGAAACGTCAGCTGTGTAAAACTAGTATTGTGTGGGGGCCAGAACGCTACCCTGGAAAACCCCAGCACGGATAGGGAAATATTCTGAGAGGGAATTGCCTTCAATGACTACGAAAACCCGTGAGATAACTGTGAAGTACGAAATGGAAGAATGCCCTTGAGTATGAACAATGCCCAACTTGATCAAAAGCTTGGCTTACAAGAAAAACCCTAGAACACTACTGCCCCTAACTCAGGAAAGGAAGAAGCAATGTCTACCACACGACAGATTTTTTCTTCACGACACATTTTAGACGAACTTTAAAAATGGACGCCAATGAGGGGGCAAAATACACCTGATCAAACTGATTGGGCTTGGTGATGGAGGAATATCGAGTACTCCACTACCTTAATTGAATGACTAGTATGTAAATAGGAGTGAATATATTTAAAAATGAACGTAAGTATGAATGGGTTTGGAACTGCATGCAATGGGTGTTAAATTGTCCTAGCTGTGACAGTAACCCCCCCCAACCCGACTTTGCTGGCTGGTGGCTGGACGGATAAGCCTGAGGTCTGCCCCCGGACTGCCAACACCCAGTGCAGGTGATTTTCGAGTTTGCCGGCAATCGACCAAATTACATCACCACGTTTTTTCCTTTTTCCCACTTCAGTAACCCGACAGTGTAAGATTTTACTTGAACCTGTTCCCATAATGATTACAGGTTTAGTCATATACAATTTACAATTGTATAATACAATCACAATACAAATGCAAACATTTGTGTTGTTTGTTTTCAATATTAACTGTGCTATAATTAAAACGATTAACAATTAACAATTTACAAATAACAAATAATAATAAATAACTTTACAATCATAAGTCCATAACATTTATAGAAACTATGAAACTTATAAACTCTTGTGTATATTTTGAAAATAACATTTTTCTTCTATCGGCCATTTTACTCCTTTTAACGTTAAACTCCTGATATTTTTTGGTCTTAATCGATCATGTGGGTCACAGTCATATATAATGTATCCATGTTTGCTGATCTTTTCCACATGGACATCTGGACTGTCAATAACATGAAAACGTGACAGATGTGCCCTATTCCTTCCGTGGCCCGTCAACCCAACGTTGTTTTAAAAGTATGCGTGATGCAGGCTTTCATTCTCCCTTGTGAGGATGTAGGTTCTTGTTATATGACCTTCTTTTGTTCCTGTCCAAATCACCACGTGGGCTTCACTAATCTCACAGAATTTCATTAACTCCGTCGTTTCCGGTCAATTTGGTCTGTCTGTCCTCTCTATTTTAGTTTGTTAAACGAAAACGGCATTTCAACATTGTCAGCGGCGGGTTTTTTTCAATGCCTCAGAAATATTTGGCTTTGATGTACTCTAGAATACCCCTACTTAATGGCAAAATGTCCAAACAGCAAATAAGCAAGCGAACGATCGGAGACAACTACAAATCCATCCGTCCGCAAACCCAAGAGACATCGCGCAACAATTTTGTCCCAGATTGAAACGTATCAAAAAGAAATGTATTAACCATTTGAAAATGTCGATAGAAAAATTTATCAGTGCACGACCAAAACAAAATTCCATTTCAATTTGATTGAACGTAGGCGTATTCAAGGTTTGCTGACTTGACACAGTTGACCTTTCTTATCGCCAATAATATTTATAAATAAAAAACATTGGCGGACGTGGGGTCCGGTCCTGTTTTGCGATAATTTATGTGATAACCTCCATATATTTATAGCAGTAATCAAATTATGAATTGCTGTCAGCGTTTTGATAGGATCTGGTGACCGGATAAAACTTTTAGCGTTGTTTGCCTTGCCACAAACTGAATCAATGTGTCATTTGAAATTTTGTACAATTTTGATAAAAATTTACATCAGTCCTTAATGTACAAAAACCTGCATGCACAGGCGGACCTTTTCGGACAATTTATACCTTGTCCGCCAAGGTTCTTTTATCTACGCCATGTGAAGTTTAGTTGGCGAACGTTACAAAATCTACGTGAAAGGCTTCATTCATGAACACAAATAAATCTACCTTTCCCTGTGCTTATACGTTTTTAAATATTATAAATAGTTTACATTTTTGTTATATGTTTGTGATAAGTTTTGTGAATATAAAATATATAAGATGCTTGTTGTTCGATTTTTATACAAAACATTATCATGTTTTTGTTCTTATCAAATATTACGTGAATTTTACGCCCGTATTCCGTGTATTTCCGTGCATCCTTCTGATCAATAATGTACCTTGTAATCGGTAGGGTACCGATGGGGCTGCACTATGATCTAATGATTTTTTCATGATGAGATTCTCTCTATATAATGGTATATTGGTACTGGGGGTATATAGTTACTATAGTAGGTACTGGGTCGAAGCGATTTCTCCTTGCAGAAACCTCTGGGGCTTTGAGATCGAACTTTGGTCGAAACGAATTGTCATATCAAGCCCATGGGTCGAAACTCTTTTTGTTTTCTTCTCGTTTGTAGTTTAAGATCTATTTTAACTTGCATATACAACCTACATTATTCTTTTCTGAAGTCGCCAATAAAAAGTTAAAAATACACCTGTTAAATAAAAGGTCAAGAATCTATTTTCACAATGTATGCCTAAAAATGTAAAATAATAATACTTAAAGTTATCGAAAGCATTTCAGATAACCAGATTTTTAGGCATACAATGCTGTATTTTAACCCTAAGAGAGTAGGTCTAAATAATTACTAATAATTTGATCCACAAAAACTAGGAAAAATAAAACAGCAAAACGTCTAGTTTAAAAAATAAATAACAAGGTAATACCACCTTCCAACCAAGTCCGCAACCCTGGGCTTTACTTAGATAGCAGGCTTACATGGAACCTACATACTAAATTAAACAAGAACTTAACGAACTAACCGCTAACAAAACAGTAATCAGGCCGGTTTGGACTTAAGGGGTCGAACTGTCATCAATTGGTCATCGTCCACAAGGGACATTCAATAATAAATAATCGTCCAAGTTCAAAAGTGAAAATTGCTAAACTATTTTTATTTTTGGAGAAAAATAAAATTTTTGGAGTTGACATTTGTCTTTTGTCGGACAGGTGGAACTTGTTACGGAGTTAGAATTTCCACATTCGAAGCACAGGCTTTCATGTGTGCCTCTCGCTGCGTCTAACATGGACTCGATCGGTACGTTCGACATGCTGCTCGCCTTGTCGCAGGTGAAATTTCAGAACGTCCGTTTGTCAATGTCGTATTGATTTGATTGTTTCTCTTTCTCCCCCTTTCCCTTCCTTTTTCTTTTCACCAGCACAGGCTACTTACTTGCGTTCACAAGTACTACACCGTCGAGGAGTGGAAAGAATTCGCCGAGGTCAACCCCAACGCCTTGCCATACGCCAGCGTGTCCACGGGGATTACGGCAGAGGACCTGAGCCGGCTCGTCGGGGTCTTGGACGTGGCATCGGATCTGAAACTGATTACGGTCGATGTCGCGAACGGGTACCAGAAGCAGTTTGCGGATTTTGTCCGTAGGATACGCGAGGCCCATCCGGACCACATCATAATAGTGAGTAACGTAGGATGTTAAAGAGATTGGACGATGAAAATGCTTCCATGTCAGGCAGGTAATGTGGTCACCTCTGAGCTCGTTCTGGACTTGCACGAAGAAGGAGCAGACGTCGTAAAGGTCGGACTCGGCCCGGGATCGGTTTGCACGACTCGTCTGCAGACCGGAGTCGGCTACCCTCAGTTTTCAGCCGTCATGGAATGCTACGAAGAGTGCAAAGGCTCAGGGGTGAAAATAATGTCTGTAAGTTCGACCTATATGAGAATCGCGAACATTTTAGATTGAATGATGACTTCCTTGCCGTAGGACGGAGGTTGTACATGCCCGGGTGATGTGGCAAAGGCGATTGCCGCCGGAGCGGATCTTGTAATGCTCGGCGGTATGCTGTCAGGCCACGAACAGTGCTCGGGAGAGGTGAAGCAGAAGGCGGACGGATCACTCGTGAAGACATTCTACGGGATGTCTTCCACGACGGCCATGCTTAAGAGGAACGGAAACGTAGCGTCGTACAGGTGAGAACTTAATTGAGTCAATAAATTTTACAATACGTAACAATCTTTTTTTCAGATGTGCAGAGGGAAAAACGGTCGAAGTACCTTACAAAGGAGACGTGAACGGAACCGTCCTCACCATTCTAGGAGGGCTGAGATCCACTTGCACCTATACGGGATCGAGGAAACTATCAGAATTGAAAGCCAACGCGCGATTTATTCGCGTTTCGCAACAGGTCAACCAAGTTTATGGAGAAGCAAAGTGAAAATCAAATAAAGACGAAGACAGACTCAAATTTAAATTGTCCTAACTGATATGTTTAACATGAATAAAGTTTATTATTAAAACTTTACCTCGGCTTTTTATCCATGCATACAGGAACTACATAAAATTATAATTCTTAACAAGTTGAGAAGCCGAAACGAGCCTTAAGACCGAAACAGCAAGGATGAGAAGATCAAAATGATCGGAAATGACGGAGTAACATATAAACAAGCCGAATAAACAATCCCTAGAAGGTATTTTAAGTGCAAAAACCTGGCACTAGTTAATAATACTTAACAATATTGTTTAAAAAAATTGAACAAAACGTCGAGGTTTAAATTTCTTAAGTCTCCCAAACTGGAGGAATCGTGAGTAATGATTAGAACATGGATCTTCATCTTTTCGCAAATCGGGAGAGGAGTCACCGGTTGTTTTTCATGAGCACGATGAATGGCTAGGAAAACATTTAAAAAACCATCTTGTGCAGCGTAAAATTTTGTAAAAAAGAGACCTAGCGCAGGTCTGTGACTTAAAAGGCTGAGAAAACAGACATTTCTAAAGTTCGACATATTTACGTGCAAAAACCAAGTAGCCACTCTTCTGCGAGGGTAGAAAGTTTGGAACGAAATTATCACCAGCAGTGAGTTGATTTTTTCCTCATCTACATCAATCACCCTCGTAAAATGGTAAGGGTACAATCTTTCCCAACGGAAGGAATGCCAACCTCTCCATTGTGCAACACCAAGGTCTATACGTAACGCATGTGTACTGGTTTCGGGATCACGATTATCAGAATGAAAAATTTCCTCATCTACATCAATTCACTGATTGTTTCCCCTCTTTCTTCGAGTGAAAGAACCAGTTTCCCTTAGCCTTTGATGAAGTCGTTGGGAGGTGCGATCTGCTGGAACGTCTCAATGTGGAAAATGTGGCTTGGTATTCTCCCCTTGCAGCAGTAGCATTACCGTTGCAGTAACCGTAAATGAAATGCATATCAACAAGATGTCCATTAAGAAACAAGGACATAATTTAAATCACCAACATGAGGAAGTTGTCAGCTGATAACATAAAGCAAACTAATTGAATTGAACAATAAAGAACTGACACAAAACTCAAGAGCCAGACAGAGTTCCTGGAAAAATTGAACGTGCCCCCCCCCCTTCAACGATAGTTTTTTTTTCATCAAAATGCAAAATTTTAGGGCCTTCCTGAAGCGCAATACAAAAAGGTGGGAATACCGCTGGAAGCTAATTGAATGGAGAACTTTTGAGGGAATTTGCAAAGCTCCAGGAGTTTGTAATTATTAACAGTTACCAATCCAACATTTAAAAAAATCCAAATTTCGACATTTTTGTTTTTCTGAATTTTTCGTGCAGAATTTTTTCATCAATTCTGCAATGTAAATGGTTCCCTTACAGCAAATATAACGTTCTTTCAGGTGGCACAAATCATTCTACAGTCAGTAATTCTGAAGTTTATAATCAATTTAGTGGACCTAAGTCGAAAAATTAAAAAACACGCAAAACTTGAAATTACTTCTTTACTGTTGAGATTTTGGCGGGGGTTTATAGGAAGTTTTTTTGTTGCATATGGTGAGTAGCAACACCTAAAATTTTCGACGCTTATCGCCAGTCACCCTGTATAAATGTAAATTTCTTCAGGCAAATCAACCAAGTGTTTTCAAAAAGAACTTTTATTTAAAGTGACTGGATTCGAGAGTTGAGACGTTCTAATACTATGTATGAAACGTGGATAATTAATAATATTTCTCTTCTAAAGTCTCGTTGTAAGAGATTAATTTGGAGAGACAGGAAACAGTTTTAAACTGCTTACACAGTTTTTAAGTAAATATTTCTTCAAGTAAATATTCGGTGGGAAAGTGTAATTTATGTACTTTACCACGATTCTAAGATAACAGCGTGCAATCTCGAGTACAAAGATAATTTGACATAACATGTATATATTTTTCTTTTGTGTTAAGAAATTTGTACCAATTGTATCTCTTTTTTTTCAATAGTATGTATTAGCCTAATAAAGTTGATAGGAAAAACGTATGCATTCATAAAAAGAAATAATCACACTGACTAATCAAAAATAATCAGAAATGACCAGACATTAAATCCTATGTTCGAAAAGCTAAAACATAAAATAATCTCTTTACATGTATTTATCCAACATTTCCATATAAAACGTAACTTTAAAATTCATCATTTTAATACATTAAGAAAATATTGAGTATATTTCAAATCAATTCATGCATAAATACCTAAGTATCTAGAACCTGATTGAACTGAAATCGGTATTGTACATTTTAAGAACAAACATAATTTCCTAGATATATCAGATTAAAAAAAAATAGCTAAAATGAGAAACTTTCCTTGGTCTACTTACACGAGGAATAATTATGGGGGCCCTTGGTCTTTTATTAAATGCCTCAGCCTACATTTACATCCTGCGACACATCGTGTGAAGACTGCCTAAAATCTTACAAGCCTACATCTCATCATATTTATTACGCAATACTTAGAGGTGAGGTGTATTTACATGTGACATCTTTTACCGAACATGACATCCAGTTTATGAATATTGCTGTTGGTACAATGGAATAACAAACATACGGCCGAAACGAAGCAGTGAACAATTATTTTATTTGCTAAATATAATAAACAAAAAATGGCTATTTTAATATATAATAAATGTATATTGAACCCGTTTCTCTCTTAGGCTTTGAATTTATTGTTTATGATAATGTTTTTATGCTTTACACTCCCATTTTATGCTCAGCGTTTGTTTGTCGATCCCATTATGAAAGAAAGACATCGAAATTACAAAAAATTAAACTACAGGATTTAAAAAATTGGAAATAATCAATGTGGTGGTGGTTGTTGCGAGTCTCCTGACATTTCATCACCGAACACAGGCAGAACGCGATTACTAACTGGCGCCCGGAACAGGTACCGCGAGTAGCTACAGCTTATTTGGAGAACGTGAGATGCGGTCTTGTGTGATGTAGGTTTAGAAAAACATTTTCTTTATTGTGCCAACGTTTCGATCTTAATTTAGATCATCTTCAGGGCTCAAAGTGGGTTTTCTGTTCATGTGTCACGGTTATGTGTCGTGTTGCAAGTTTCACAACCATGAAACATCTGCACAGAGAACACACACTTTGAGCCCTGAATATGATCTAAATAAAGATCGAAACTTTGGCACAATGAAGAAAATGTTTTTCTAAACCTACATCACACACGACTGCATCTCACGATCTCCAAATAATCATTACTTAACGGTCACTAAATACTACACAAGAAGCTAAAATTTTAAAGTCGTGTCCATTTGTCCCGCAGTTGCGTTCATTTGACTAAACGGAACTTGCGTGCACATCGGTGCTTTGATCGCAGTTCGAAGAAAATTCTGGTTAAGTCAAGACCGAAGAGCTTCTAATAAAGCTTATGCAATTTATAATAAAAATAAAAATGCTAGGGGAAGTAAATACTACAAAATTGGCAATATCCCTATTCATTTTTGAGCAATTTACTAGAACGCGGGGCTGCAGCCTAAAAAGTATGGGAAGCGTTGACTAGCATCATAGTATTATATTCGTTTCCATGGCAATTCCCCACCACACAACTTTCTCATCTCCGCATGCGCTCCTGTCGAATTTCCAGCCTCCCGGATCATTCAATTTCAGACGTTTCAGTCGCCTCCGGCTTCTTCGACGGTTCAGGCCGCCGTTCCCGCTCAACCTAATACCATTGGACGGACATTTGAGTCGCCACAAGGGAAAAGTGGAACTCTTAATTCCGAAACATTAACATTTCTTCAAACACTGCCACAATTTTTTGTAAAAGTCCTCAAAGAGAACGAGATAAAAAAGAAGTGGGAGGTTCCTGTTATAAAGGTGAGCTTTTTTAAACAAAATATTGAGGATTATTTCTTTTTTTTTAATTAAAATCAGTGAAGAACGGAAAGATTTCTTACCCCGGGTCATACCTTCCAGTAGGTTCGGAGAAAACCGAATTTATAACCCTTAGTCATATCCTTCACTTCATTCTTGTTGTATTCTAACTGTACTGTTTTAACTGTAGTTAAAATATCCCATAACATTTGTGAAAACAGTGATAATCCATGGATTTAAGCAGATTTTGAATGCCTTACAGTAATTAAAAGTTAGGCAATGTTTTCCTCATAGACAATTACAAAGGTGTAAGTGTCCTTGCATTCTAATAGTCATTCAGATCTTTTTTCCGAATATTGCGTAATTCGTCCTTGAACTTGTCGGTTTTCATTAATGAGAAGTCGATTTTTTTATTTTACCTTTGCGATGCATAGTGGGGAAGCGAAGGCCGATTGATTTTTTTTACTGTTTGGCCTGTTTTTCATTGCAGGCCGGTCCTTGGTTTAGTCTCGGAACAAGAAAAAAAGCTCCGTGGCATGACATATAATCACTTTTGGTATGACAGTCGGATAACAGTGTCATGTATGGATTTTCAGAAAGGATGATGTTTTTCCTTTTTCACAATTCGTGGAACAATACATTCATGGATAAGTAGCCAAAGACAGTGTAGTCGTCGCCCTATGGACATTGGACTCTATATGCACCCGGCAAAACCTTATTTATCAATTATGTTAAATTTTGTAAAACCCAAACAATATGCAAGGTGATTACAAATGATACAAAATTCAATAGTAAAAATAAAACAACCAAAATTACTGATTGAAATAGCTAGGTTATATGCAATGAGGAGGAAGAAACACCCATATCATCTTACAATATGAAGTAACTGCTCAATGGAGATATAACCTGGGATAGTTAGGGATCCTTAACCATCCTTAAACACTTAGAAAACCCAGGGAATGGAATTTCAGCAATGACAGTCAATGCCCTAGTACTCCTTAAAAGAAGGATCGAATCGATTGCACTAAACTAAAGGAACTAGAAAGTACAATACGCTAAAAGCTGCAGTGCTTGAAGAACAAAAATCAGGACTTCCTAGAATCCATATTAATCATCATCATCTTATCTTGAGCCATTAATTTAGATTTAGGCAATACTTTTTACTGTATAACAGTGCTATCATGTTGTGGATATTAATGCATCTTTTTTGTTTACCTTTTCCTCAGACTAAAAAAAAGGAAGTTTTCCATTGTTCAACCAATCACTAACCTATACAAACCACATCACCTTCCTAATTCCTGCTGTCCTATTGGTTTATTTCCAATTTTTGGAAAAATCTTGGTAAAACTTCTACAAACGATTCTACTTATTCGTGCAATGTTTTAATATTATTATGGACTATTAATTTAGATTCAGTTGACATCATTCAACTACCTGCAGTGCTTGATGGGGATATATCTTATTAGGGAATAGGCTATATAACTGGTTGGGTTGGATGGAACTTAACAGGTTTTCAAATCTGCAGGTTTTGAGGTTTGAGAAGGAAGTTTTTTTTTCTTGGAGCTATTGATAATTCAAATTCATTTCAACAGATTAAAATTTATTTGGAATCATTATCCTTGTATAGATCAGTTTTATTTTTATTTGGTCTTATGTACAGTTGAAAAAATAACAGGATTTGAAGTTACGCGACAGTTCAACTAAGTTATATAAATGAATCACCTCTTAATTGGACTATAGCTTTCAATAGACTTTGGCCAAATTCAAACAATATTGTTGTATAAAATCTTAAGGACTTAATGTTTAGTCGTCCTTGTCACTGATACCATTTCAGCAATGGGCTTTGGAGATAGTTATCATTTTTAGGGGAAAAAGTCATATAAATTAAAAACGGAAGGGAGGATTTTCTGGTAGGTTTGGAAGTTATTTTTAATTCCGAGGGAGGATCTCTTTCATTTTTTGGCTGAATGTCCCATTCTTTCAGTATTTCCATTTGTGGAAACTACCAGAGTTTTGAAAGGGTGTTTGACCGCAAAATGTAATAACCCAGATTGTTTAGTCCTGATTGGTTTTACGAAGACGCAGTATCACAGAGAGCTTTAATGATATATTAGAAACGCTAATAGTTTTAATTACTTTTTTGTATTATTTTTGAATGTACATATTATCTACTATCCAGATGAATCAATTTTTTAAAATCACACTTACTTGATATTTACAGTTATGAATTTGTATTAAGTAAACATTTTCTCTGGAAAGTGTTTTTCACTTTCTAGTGGAATGCACAGACTGGGGGAGTTAGATCAATTTTTATTTGGGGAATTTTGTTTTAAGTAAGGATTTTCTAATTAAATATCTGGATGGTGTATTTGATCCAAAAAGATTAATTTAATACACCATTGTTTAATTGAATTCATGGAGGTACAGATATGCATTGGTCCATCAATTTAATTATCAGTTCTGGGGCGACACACTATTCATCTCTGGTTTGTTCTCTGAAGTCAATCTAACTGAATTTTTTGTTATTTACTTACTATTGTGTACTTTGTATAGCTTTTTTAATTATTTGTTTTTTTTAAACATATTTTTTAAATTTCCTTATTTTTTTAATAATACCAGCAACAACCTCTGACAGACAGTTATATTTTATATATATGTACATATTTTACAGTAGTATTTTTTTCTTTCGATGTAAATAAAAGATCTATCTGTCTAACAAATATTTGCAATATTTGCTAGTTTTGTCATTTGAGTCTCTTGTAGGAGAAATTGGCCTGTCACATTTGTCTAACTTGTAGTATAAGTTGCCAAGTGACAACACTCCTTCACACTGAAACCTCATCTACCTTTACTCATTAAGAAGGTCTCGGGGCTAATTTTGCTTGAATTTCCTTGGAGGATGTGGTAGATTTGAAAGTGATGTGTCATACTTATAGATTATTATGAATTTTCAGTGATTGATGAAATTTTTTATAGCAGGTTTTGATGAGGTGATGTATAAACAGTAGGATGTTATGAATAGTCCAGTGTGAAACATAAAAAGGAGCATTTATAATATGATGGAGAATTTTAGACTGAATGTACTGGGGACGTTGGGAATTGGCATCCTTGGTTGAGCCCCACACTTCAGAACTGTATGCCCAGAGAGGTCTTATCATTGTTTTGTAAATTAAAAGTTTGTTTTCAAAGTTTAATTTTGATCATGAGTCAAGTACTCTTTAATCATTTATAACTTTGATTTGTTTCTTGTCTTTTACATCTTGTGGGGATTCTAAGTTAGTCGTTTATCCATGAAAAGTTCAAGATAATGTACAAGGTCAAGGCAATGAAGTAATTACAGAAAAAATTAATTTGTTCTGACAAAAAATGCTGACAACAACGACCCACTTATTAAGTCTAATTAAAAATGGGGTGGAGTCTCTGATGCAGTCTAATGAAGAAAAAACAATGTTTTTGTTAAATGGCAGGAATATGTACTTCTTGCGGTAAATACAGTTTTTGAGGGGTGTGTGTAGGCAAAGGTGTATGATAAATTGTACGAATGTTTCTGCTAATTGACAGATTAAACTGTGATAAAAATCGCTTTAAGAATTAGGAATTATTGGGCATGAATTTGCATTAATTTGGTTATCATGACCGTTGATATGAGTTGTTTGTGTGATACCAAACATTTATCTATTGAAGGTTGATGTAATATCCTTCCATAAAAAGCCATTTTCCTATCAAAAATTTGGCAAAAGCATTTTACAAACTAACAAATTAATGTGATTGTTCATTTTACAGAAAAGAACATGAAAGAGAAAACACCGAGGGAGTACAGAGATGTCGTCATCGTCGGAAACGGTCCTTCTGGGCTTTTTATGTCTTATCTACTATCAGGAAAGTGTCCAACTTACAATGGAGGAAATCATCCTGAGTTGATTCTTGACTCTGCTCTTAATTGCCTTGGAAGTGGACGCTGTCTATATGATGCAGACTTAATTACCATTGCACAGGTGTTGTATATTATAATCATTAATTTATACATGTTTTGTAATATTTTTTATTTTTTTGTTTTGCAGTCTGTAGAAGGAAATGGCACTCCGATTGGCATTTTAATGGATAAACTGCTCAGACCAGGTGCAGACATAGGTCTTGATATGCCATCACTTATCGATTGGAGGTGTCACAAATCTTTAGATCATGTTGTTATCGGAAAAGGACCGCCGGGAGGTATATGGCACACGATCGAAGGGGACACACTCACTCTTTCTCCTTCCAATTGGATGGAGCTCCCAGGTTTCCCTTTTACTGAGTTTGAGAATTCAGAAGGGCCAAAGCGAGTAAAAGCTTCGATTGTGGCACGGTATTATACTCAGTATGCTCGAAAAATGAATTTACAACAATATATGAAGCGAGGAGTAGTCAACTGTATACGCCCCTACGAGGACCTAACCGATGATGAGAACAAAACGAATTGGGTCGTTGAAGGCAATGATCTAAATGGTGCGCGGTTCTCATATAAGTGTAAATATGTAGTGCTTGCGTCTGGCACTTATGATTCACCTAATGTGCTTGGTGTGGAAGGTGAAGATTTACCATGGGTTTACCACAGCTTAAAGGACTTTGAGGATGAATTTGACAGTGCTCAATCGGTGTTAATCGTCGGTGCGGGACTGAGTGCAGCGGATGCCGTCAGGGCTTGTAGATTCAGATTAGCAGAAGTTCATCACGTCTTCAGGAACCCTAAAAACCCTATGGAGAAAAGTCTTCACTCGTCAATGTACCCCGATTACCACAAGGTAATTTGTTCCTTCTCATTACACAAATAAAAATTTTATATGGTAATAATAAAATGCTATAACTAATAGGCTTATTGTTTCTTCAATGTTTTTAAACAGTTTAGTTGCATTTAGAAATTATTCTGGCCTTCATATTTTGTAAAATAATAGCATTGAGAACATTGTGAACTGTAGAAGTACATAGAATTTTTTAACAGTTTCAATGGGGAGGAGGTAAATGGACCTCCTCTCGTCCACCCATCTTTATGGAAGAGGAAATTTACCTACTCCCTGTCCGAGAATGTTAAAATTTTATTAGTTACCAAAAATGGCATTATTTTTGTTTTCTCATACTGTTCCTTTCACTAGACCTTCAGTTCGAGTTTGCCTACCTTAGGCTGCAAGCAACTTAATTTTTTTTTTTTAGATTTCACTGAAATTTGGTAAGAGTGCTTAATTTTAATGTTTTAAAAATAGATATTAATTTCTATTTACAGTATTACCTCACACTATGAGCACAGTGAAGGAGAGTATTAATAACTGGAGCATGAAACAATTCCTTAAGCAGTGGAATTTAACCCCCAGACATAGGCAATCAAAGGAGTTTTTTAAGGTGATCAAACCAGCAGAATCGAAATGGCTATTCTCTATCTCAAGGAAGGGAATTAGGCGGCTGATAGGTATTCTGGGGGGACACTGCCCACTGAGAAGATAACTCTCCATAATGGGTATTCTACCAGATCCCTTTTGCCGTTTTTGCGAAACAAAAGAAGAAACGGCAAGGCAGTTGAATTTAAAAGGGGAGGGGAGCCAAAAAATTAAAACTCAAGAACATTACAACAAAAACAAGAACCAATTACATTAATTATCCGGAGGATTTATTAACCCTATTGAAGGAGGATGAGGAAGAAAAAATGGATTTTATTCCATTTTCCAAAATAGAGGATTGGCTTGTTCCCCAGGTACAAGTGTTTCTCTTGGCTCTTCACCCCAAGAGATATTTGACGATTCAGTCTCGCTGGATTTAGGCACCTGTGCCAAATGTTCCCACATTGTGATTCAGGCAGAAGTTTTGTTTAAAGCAGTTCCCCCTGCTAATCATCCTGATTTTACATTTTCTGGGCAGCAAAGACTTAAGAAATGCCCAGATCGAAATGAGCCCATCAATTATTTTAATTTAATCTTTTCTGGTGAGGTTTCGAACTAGCATAACCCAAGAAAGTAGCATTTATACTTGAGAATTTTTTTCTAGGATTGGAAAAACATTTCTGTTGAAGAATTAAAATAATTTATGGGCTTAACTTTTCATATGGAAATTTTTTCCTCAAGGATTCACGGGACAGATTTCTTGGCTTCCGAGAGGCATTACATTCCTTCCCCTGTAATCCGGCCTCTTAGTCCTTCCTGTAGTGGAATATTCTAATAAAATGGACAAAATCCACGAGCCAGGGGAAAATGCATCAATTAACGAGTCTATGGCTCAATGGTGTGGTCAGCTCCGGATATGTCAGTATTTACCACATAAAAAACACAAATATGATATAAAATTATTGATGCTAGCGGAACCAGAGGGCTCAGTTCATCGCTTCTTAATTTATACTGGAGCGAGGGATCAAGAGCTTTCTGGTAAATGTAAATTAATTGCACATGTACATAAATTACTTAGTAGTCCCAAATTTTATTTAAAATTATTAATACAAAAAAAAGCATTGATCTCCTGCCAGAGAAAACAGCACTCCACAGGTCCCCTTTCACCCCTCCAGAAAACATAACTCACAAGAGGTTATAAACAGAAAATTAAGGAGTGATGAAGTAGTTGAGTGTTGGTCCGATGAAGGCATCAATATTTGCAAGTGGTAGCACAAAAAACCCATTACTTACCATTTCATCCAGACATTGGGGAGAAAAGGTAAGTACAATCATTGTTCGCAGGAGCTTTATTGTAGAGAAGCCTGAAGTGATCGTGGTGCTTAATAAGAATATGGGAACCATCTTAACCAATTCCTTGCTTATTATAAATTCTTCCACAAATCATTGAAGTGGTACAAAAACTAGGAGTCCACATTTTCAAAATTATATTGGCTAATTCTTTCTATTTGTACTGCTAATACAGTGTAGGTCCCAAAATGAACATGTAAATGTTCTGCTTGAAAATTATTGATGCCTTATATCAAATGGAACTGAAAAACCTTGCTCCCTGCCCGTTTAAGAGAATAAAGGCCATCATTTATAATCATCTGCCAGATTATTTGCTGAAGGTATCTTCGAGAAAAAAGAGAAATCTTTAAGAAATGCAGTGTTTGTTATAAAATAACAAAGGCATAAGTCAGCATATTTTGCTCGGGTTCCAAGGGGGAACTGAGATATATCTTGGAGTTTGTTTTAAAAAGTTCCATGAAGATTTGAAATTTCAAAATAAATAATTTTATAATTTTAGTTACAATTTAATTATAAAATTTATTTATAGAGTTAGTTAATATGATACATTAGTATAACGTGTGTACTATTTGTATTTGTGTGTGCCTGTCTGTGTCTTATATTAATTCTTACATGACCATAATTTTCATTTAATTTGATTAATATTGAGATTTTCAATTCATAAAAAAATATATATTTAAAAATAAGCATATAAAACTTGAAAGTGTATTATTGAATGACAATGAAAACTGCACTTTAGCAATTGTGTGAGGCAGATTGCAAAACTTTTTGAAATTTTGTTGTTCTATATACCTAAATTATCATTATTATGTACTTTACCAAAAAGTATGTTTAAAAAATATATCCTATAACGAGGGGTTTTCAGCAAAAAAAGTCCCACATTGTAAGTGTTAAGTGTAGTGATGTTATCCTGGTTGAAGGCAGACCACATGTCATTTGTTGATTTAGATTGATTATACTGAAGCTATGTGATACTTTCTAACCTTAATCTTTTCATATATATGTTTATATTATTTTTTAAATAATAATTAATTTTTTTTGTTTATTTTATAATTGTAGGTTGTTAAACAAATACTGTAGCATGGAATTTGATTTATTAACAGAACATTTTCATTCTCATGCAATGAGTCCTCTTCATTGTCTATCCAGTGGATTGTGTGGGAAGTAACACTACACATGACACATTGTTGAGAAGTTCACTGAAGAGGACTCATGTCATGAAATCAAAAATGTTCTGTTAATAAATAAAATTCCATGCTTCAGTAATTTTTCAACAACCTACAAAACAAATAATAAATACTTTTCTTCAAACAGCTTGTACAATAGGTAAAAAACTAACTATTCGTTGATTTCCATTGCTTGTGTTTTATAGATATGGCAGATGATGAACATTGGTGATGCTAAATATCCAGGATACTTTCCATACCGTGGTTGTAGTGTCCTTTCCTTTTATGAAGAGGGCAGAGAACGGTATGCCAAGTTGAGATATGAAAATGGCACAGTTGAATCTGTCCAAATAAATCTTGTGGTGATCCTTATTGGCTCTACTGCTGACTTGAGGTAAGCATTTTAAAACAAATGACGAAGAATGAAAGTTTAATTTTAGGTTGTTTTTTTTAGGTATACTCAGAAAGAAGATTTGGGCCTAACCACGGGCCCAGTGCATTCCAGAGGAAATTCAGTCCTCATTGACCCTACTACTTCTGAAGTACTTCGCCTTCCCAATTGTTTTGCAATCGGCTCTCTCGCCGGAGAAAACTTTGTGAGGAACATTACCGGGGCAGCAGTAATGGCTGCTGCACGCATATATAAATTTCTGCAATAGCAGAAAATGGAGGGAAGAAAGCCTAATACTAAAATATGATTTTTGGTTTCCTGTAGATAAATACTTTCCAGAGTGAAAAACAAAGCTAGGCTGTGTTTCTTGGTGCTGTTTTAATTTTAATTTTTTTAAAGTTAATTTTATTTTTTTAATTATTCATATTTCAATATTAGGGATAGAGAGAAAAAAAGATATTTTTTCAAAATAAATCTCTTATCAAAAGAATTTTTGTATTGCTTTTGCATGTGTTTTCATACTGAACTCCCAATACCTACTGCAAAAGCAGTACAATTTCAAAATGATAAAAGCTATGTACATAGGCATGCACATGCACACACACATCAATGAATGTCGCTATAATGAAAACACATAAGTGACCAAATCTGCTTAAATATGGAAGACCTGACCTGCTTAAAATCGAAAAAAAAAGTTCAAATGAATTCAGAAAGATGTACCATGGTAATGTTAATGCAGGGTCGCTGGATTCTAATTCTAAGTTTACAGCGATGAACGTGTCAACACCTTAACTATTATGGCCACTGATACCCCCCCCCATGGTAAAGTTACATCTATACAACAACAAAAATAGTATGATGAATGAAAATAACATGTTTACTCAATAATGACTATCTTTACAACAGAGATTAGAAGTAAAACTTGCAAATGGCCTGGAAATTTATTCAGGTTTTCCAAGCCAAATTTAAAATTGATAAGAAAAACATGTTAACCTAAGTTGATTTAGAGTTGGACAAAGAAGAGGGGAGACATGACAGAAAATGGTGCTGCAATTTCTTAATTTTATCTAGTGTTTTAGTGTTTACCCTTTTCTATTTTATTACCATAAGGGTAAAGCAATCCCATTGTTTTTCTTTAAATTTGTGTCATTTAAATTGTAAATATATTTTTATTATCTCAAGTTAAATAAAAAAACATCTCTGAAATGCTCAATGATACTCAGGTTAATGATTAATAATTTAAAAAAGAGTAATTATATGGCTTTAGTTTGGCCCCGCCATTTTTAAAATTTTATCCCAACTTATGAGACCAAATAAACTGAATCCATCCATCTCAACAACCCTCATTAACTAAATGTTAACAGCCGAGTACTCACATGTGTGACACTATTGAAATGTGTTAACCTGTAAGCCTGTACGCTCACCGACATCATACTCCTTTTCAGGAAAGGAGAAAAAAACTAGTGAAATACTTTCTGGTAAGAGAAAAGACAACAATACATACAAATAAAAATTCTAAACGAAAAACGCAAGCAAGAGACACCACAACAGCGCTTAAAGTAAACATGGGACTTGGGCTGACCATTAGCAAGATTGGAAGACAGAAGTTGGACACAGAGAAGTCTGAGTCTGAAATGGTGCGGAAACAATGGGTGAAGAAAGTAAAAATAAGAAGAATGAAAGAGATTGGGAGAGAATTAGCTTCTATAATGGGCTGGAAAAGAGAGGAATGAAAGAAGTAGAATTTACTGTGTAAAATGAATGATAAATGGAAATAAAATATACAAGTGTGGAAACATATTACACTTCATAATCAAAAGTAAAAAGTAACCTTCAATCAGATGTATTGTCAAATGGTGTATTTATATTTACCAATACAGTGCTTCTATTATTATTATTTTTATTTGCAACTAGGATTTGAGTTGAAGGTCTGGGAATTGATATGGGCAGTATAAATGGATTTTCCCACTTCTTAGGTACAAAATTGATTTTTTTAAATATTATTCTAAACTTGAAGTATGTATCAATTTAAGTTCAATTTGTGAAAAAATAAATGTAAAAACTTTATCTAGTTGGAAAAACATAGTTTTGTAACTTTTTTTTTTAATTAAAATGTGTATGTTATTTATTAAGGCATATAGTATTGTACTAAGATAATTACATTGACTGCTGGGGCAATAATAGAATATTTATACTAACATGCTCACTAACCTGACTGCCAGCATAGAGAGTTGAATTACACTTTGTAAATTCCTCCTGGGAAAAGAAAAATAATTAAGTTAAAACCAGGGATTGGTAGACAAGGTGTATACAATAAGTAGATGTTATATAAATAAAATTTACCCTATGAAGGCAAAAATCCTTGCCTTAAAACGGCTTCGATGAACCACCTAACTGGGCTCACTGTACAACACTCACTGAACAATTTATTAACGCACTTTGTGAAATACAGGAAAAGATATAAAAATGGCTCAGCACCCCTTAATAAAGTATACAAGAAATGTATTTTAACAGATCCCACAAAAAAATTATTAAAAATAACATTAACCCATTTATGTTTAGTGGTTCAAATTACTTAATTGCAATTAATTATACTTTTTATGTAAGGTCTTGGTTGAGATCAAAAAGCAAGTGTCACCACGTGGATTCGAACCCATCAGCCGAAGGTAGTGGTTCCGAATCCCGCTCTTGACACTGTTTCATCTCAACCAAGACCTTACATAAAAAGAATAATTAATTGAAATATGTAACATTGACCTACAAAAAGAGAGGAATATGATTTATTGTACAATCACTGCATAAATAATCCAGGAAAATCTTTCTGAGGGAAGTAACTGAATTGAATATGCAAACCTCCTTAAAAGACTTTAAATTTTTTTAAATATTTTTTTAACCCTCGGGGTGATGGTGTTTTTGAAAAAAAAGCCCATTTGTAAATATGTCGGGTTTGAATGCAGTGCTGAGACTTTATTTTTACAAAATAAGAGCAAATACTACCCGTCTAACCGTCGGCCTAGCTGCCAGTGCCTTTAGAATTTTTTGGAACGTTTCGTCCTCAACGGCCGCCCGGGATGCACATCGGCTGGTGGCGCCATCTTCCCACATCTATGTAATTTTTTTTAAACTTCCAGTGGCATTGGATTTTATAGAACTTATCTGGTATCTGAACTCATCAAGAAGCAACGGTAATTTACGATTTGAAGAATATTAACACTTTTTTTATTCATCACTTTAATGAACTTGAATTACAAGATATGAAAAAAATAACACCTCTATTGAAACTCCATTTATAAGTAAGTAAAATGTAAAGGAGGAGTGTGCTCGTAGCAGTTCGTAGTGCTTCATTCCTTTACAATGTGTATTAATGATACGGAATTTGAACAAGTACTTATTTCAATGAGTGTTAACTGAAAATAGTTTATAATTAGTGCTGGTTATTTCAATCATGACATTTGATGCGAAACTGGTTTTGCGACAGTCTTCTTTGTTGTTTTCACTCATATTTAGAAAACGGGTTCCAAATAGTTAATTTTCTGAATCTATTCAATTCTCAGTTACTTTAGGGCCTCTTTTGTCCCCTATTTTCATAAATAACTTTTACACTGTGTTAATGATATCATCTATGATTATTTGAAGATTGTGAGATGCGGCCTGGTGTGACGTAGGTTCAGAAAAACACTTTATTTATTGTGCCAATGTTTCCATCTTTATTGAGATCATCTTCAGGGCCTGGGATTTATAAACATTGTTTAAATTATACAAATACATGTATGATATGAAAAAATGAATTTATACAATGATAGAAATTCATTTTTTCACATTTTACATATATTCGTATAATTTAAATAATGTTTATAAATAATACAATCACTAAATACCACACAGATATCACCTCTCTTACCTTTGGTGATGATCTAAAGATTTTTAAATCAGTTTCTTACATTTATGACACTTAATTTTCCAAAATAATTTAAATTCTCCTCATTTTTGGTATTTAAATAATGATATAAATCTTAAAAAAAAACATTATTAATGATAACATTTTAAGATTTCCTGCTAAAGCTCCCCAACTTCTGAGATTTATGATTTGTTTTTCTCCATATCTTCCAAATAGTCATGTGTTAAAATTAACATGTATGTGCATAATCAGACCCATTCTTGAATTATTTTCTGTAGTTTGCATCATCTACTTCAGGAGTTCCTCAGGGATCTCACTTAGGGTCTCTTTTGTTTCTTGTTTTCATAGACGATATTTACACTGTTAATTAAATCGTTTGTCTTATCATTGCTGATAATTTAATTTGATTTAAACAATTTCTTCTTATTCTGACACTTAATTCTCCAAAATAATTTAAATTCTCCTCATTTTTGGTGTTTAAATAATGATATAAATCATAATACTTAACAGCTTTCCATATTCGCTTCTCAAGGTGCAATAATTTTAGCACAATCAATTGTACACCCTGCTCAATTTGGTCCTAATGAATCAAAGAATTTGATTATTAGGCCTAATTGTAGTAGTCATATTTCTTTTTAGGGTGATGTGGTCCAAACTCATTTTCTTCTGATAGGTATGTTGGGGTTTCCTACTTCCAGAATACGCACGATAAAGAAATGTTTTTCTGAAACCTACATCACACCAGACCGCATCTCACGATTTCTAAATAAATATCGATTAACGGTCACTAATCACCACACATTCATACACCATATTGAAGCACCAACATGTATCACGTACCCTATTATTCGGAGTTTTTCCTGTGCCCATTGATGCATTCTGCAGGGTTTTTTTTCCAAATGTGGGACTCTTGGATTATTTGGGTCTGTCTTATCTTTTTTTAAAGATGCTATTGGATTTTCTACACTACAGAAAAGTTCAGGCACTATCATCACATCAAGTTCTAAAGTGTCAAACCATATCAAACAGTCATTTTTAACAGAAAATACAATTTCTCTTATCGCCAATTACCAAAATAAATAATAATGATCATAAACCGTCACAATGGTTTAGGTGTTCATCATTGTAAGATAATGGTCCCAGCTTCAAATCCAGCAGCCTTCCATTCGAACCTGACATACTTATAAATGTGCTTTTTCTCAAAAATACCGGCACCCTGAGTGATGATATAATCTCATAGTTGAAATGCCCTCATTAAAAAAGTAAAATAAAAATTGTTTCTCTTCTCTTTGAAAAAAGAATTGATATAGCAGCAAAGGCCGCAAAACATACATCATTATCAGAACTGATTCTAACGACAACTACAGCCTTAAGGACAACACTACACACCCCATTTACAATATTTATGTTTTGCGGCCTTTGCTGCTATAACAATCCAGGCCGCAAAATATACAGTATTGTAAATGGGGTGTGTAGTGTTAGAATGACTGTCCTTAAGGCTGTAGTTGTCGTTAGAATCAGTTCTGATAATGATTTTAGTCGGAAGTGCAGTCTTGATTAGGTGTTTCATAGACCCAGTAGTTATATTTAT